AAAATTTAAATTATCTCGGCTTCCATTGCAGCTGGAAGCCTCTTTTTTTATTCTGGGGTAGTTTGTCGAAATATGAATAACTACATAGTTTTCACTGAGCGGAAAATATGGGAAACCTCGAAAAAATTGGTCCATTAAAAATTCATTAATAATTTGGCTGGAATTAGTCTGTCGCAGTATTAATAATAATTTTCACCACCCCTTCCCCCTAAAACCTCGAAAAAATCCCGGAAAATCGACATAATTTTTTTTTATTTTATATCAATAATGTAATAATACTTATTTTACTTACTTTTAAACATTATATTATTATATGTCTTATATTAATTACAATTGTTTGTAATTTTATAATTAACAATATTGAGTTTTATTCTATTATTCGTATAAATATGATATACAATATTATTCTAATCTACGTTACTGCTTTGATAAAATAATGTCGATTTTTTCATCACTTGTCTTATTAAATTGCAATGCAATGTTTCTTGAACTTTACTTTTTTTATTTTCTTTACATACATTGGTTTAAAAGTTAAAATTTGGTTCATTCATTTGAGTTCACTGTCAGCTCTGAACCTTTTTGTTACAGGTTATTTGTCTTCACGAGTCACAAGTTAGTCTATAAATATATATCTTCAGAATCACTGTGGTCGTCAAACGTAACTGTATCGAGGTTGCAGCATATTTTCTCCTCTACTTAAGTAAGTATCTTAAAATAAGTTCTTTAGTTGAATTGTAAGTATCATAAATAATTTGAAGAAAGTGTATTGTTGTGTTTTTTTTTTATAATTTATATCAACTGCAGTAGAGTATCGAGCCACAATCACCTCAAAACCAATTCTCATTATATTTTCTTTACTTGCGTTGGAATCGTAGAAAATATCCATGAAACTAAGAGATTCTTCGTTTGCGTTGATTAATTTAAGTTTTTTCTGATTATAAAAGCATGAAGTGGTATTACATCCAGTGAAAATGTACAAAAAGCCGACGAACTTACATTATTACTGTACTCATTTCTGGGTCATTTCTTATACTACTGTAGAATATCTTTATCTGCAACTTTAGTCCGATACCCAGCTTTGTTTAATTCTATACATAATAATTGTATTTACGTCTAATGTAATTTCTGGTGCATATACACCCTCCATATTTCGACGTAGTCGTTCACAACTTTTTATTCCAGGGGTGTCGTATCCATCAAAAACGATAATACTGTTCTTAATATAATGCCTTTGTACGTAAGACACATATCCTCCGAGAATTTCAGCTACTTAAGAATGCGAACTCCATACACTACGTTGTAATAAGTATCCTCCGTCGATTATATGCAAAATATTATCTATCGTTATTGCTGTAATTTACTGCTGTTTATTTTGAAATAATCGTTAATAAATAATATTGTTCACTGATTATATACGTTGAAAATAATTAGTTATTCATTCAATAGTTTTAAATATTACTCACAATTTTCAATCAAAAATTAATTAAATACGTTTAGTTAAAACTTTTTTGTTTAAAATACACAAAATGTTTTACTCAAAGAAGTATAAGTATATTGCTTTCTAAAGCCAATACAATAAGACTGACGAAATTTTGGAGCGTGGAGCTAAAACAGTTTCCCCTCCACTTTCCTATGTCGATCTTTCGAAAGTATTTACCTTCGTTTCAAAAGGCTGTAAGTTTCGAAAAATTGGTTGACAACAAACTTCAGGCCCTTCGAGAACGTACTATGGCAAAAATCGATAAAATAACTTGTATAATAATAATAATCGATAAAAAAACTTGTTCTTTTTCCGTATATCTTGTCATCTTGTACAAATACAAATAAAACCACAATCACAGTACTATGTAAAATAAAATAAAATTATACAAAACAAATCCCAAAGAATATAAATATATTATATAGCGTCTATATTCTTCGCAAATACTGACCTGAACGACAGCCGTTACTTGCTGTTGGAACACTTCGAAAGAATGGCTAGCATGGACGAAGTTTAACGTCAACTGTCAGTAATAGGCGTATTTGATTGGCTAGAGAAAGTGCGCATCTAAATATCAACGAATCAAACGTAGGTTAGGAAAAAACCGCTTATTCTAACGCTGCAATATAGTTCTGTTTAATCACCGAACTACCGCTTTCTCCGTCATATCCAACTTAATGCATTAGAGAGAAATCGAAAAACTGTGACGCACTGAAAAGTACCTCTGGGATCAAGGTTATTAAAAATAGACAGGTTGTCTGATAACTTTACACCTATCAGCGTCGAGAATCTAACGGTGGGAATGACGTCACTGAGAATCTTACATTCAAATTCATTCAGTTTACTCCTTGAAATGAACTCGAAAAGCAACAATGATTGTAAATATATTAATCTATGTATATCAAAAAAATACGTTTGGACTTTTAATAACTATTTATTTCATTCAATCTTTAAAAAATGTGGGAGATAAGTACCTGCAAAGTTACAGAAATCATGAAGTATTATTGCAGTTAAACATATGTAGTAGAATAGCATTATTATATTAAATTGGAAGTAGATTCTTTCTTGTGTATACATGTGACTAAAACATGTTAATATACTATATTTATAATGGGTTTTAAACAATTACAATTTAATTTTTTTTTAATTATTTTGAATTGAGGATAAGGCATGTAGTGGATTATTATAAATTCCTCCAAACAAGTAAACCATGCTGAAAAAGAGATTCAACTAAAGATTTATATATCAGAATTAGTAGTTTTTGCCTTAACTTCAATATATTTAAGGAACATCTGATTACATTACTGGATTATATAATAGAATATAATAGTATATTACATAACGAGAGTTGTAAGAAGCTTATTACATGCGAGTAAAAAAATTGCGCGCGAGCCGCGTAGCGGCGAGCGCAGTAATTTTACAAGCATGTAATAAGCTTACAACTCAAGTTGTGTACTATACTTTTTCTACGATTATTTTCGTTTATAAACATAAAAATTAAATTACCACTATATTTACACTGACAGATTAATAATTTTTAATCTGTCAAAATAACGTCTGTTAATTCGTTTCCATGGCAACTCGACCAACTGACTTACGAGGCTTATGTGATATTACACATTTTTATAAAACTGAAGCGTAATTTTTTTTATTACGTGCTAGTCATTACATGTCAGTATCTGTTACGATGCATTTACTTAGCATCCAAATAGTAGGTAATATACAATTTACTAGTAAGAGAGTAGAAAAAAAATATTAAAACATGATTCCATTAAATAGATACCTTTTAAATTTAAATTTTTACATTTAAATGACTATACCTACTTACCATCTTTTTTCAGCTTTTTAGGTTGTATGTTTAATAGTTTGGCTTTTAAAGCACCCTCATAATCATCCAGGCGAAAGTGTATACTAAAAACTCTTTTATGAAAACAGGACCACTTATCCTTCCTATGACACTTGCTCTTTCCATCATTTTTGGAATTTTTTGAATTATATTTGCAGATTGCTACACTACAAATATTTCCACCAGTCATATGAATCAATAAAAAAATTAATTTAAGTTATGTTTTTCCTGCATTAATCCCAAAATCCAGTAAGACACAACCACGTTAAATGTATCTTAATACTTATTACACACGTATAAGTGTATTGGGCCAAGTTGTATACTAAAAATCACTCAATAATATCTATAGACATATTATATCTCCAGATATTGACATAAACTAAAGCACTAACGATATTTAACAACAAAATATACTCTCCAAACCACTTCTCCTATTTTGTTTTCAAACAATTCGTAAAATTGACCCCCTGGGTGACGTCACACGTCATATTTCATTCTGTCAATGTCATGAGTTACCATGCAACCTCCCTTTTACTAACCTTGCTCTGGGATGTTCTATACAAGTGGACTGCAGAAGCTTCACCTTTAAATGTAAAAACAAGAAGTTTTAACATTATCTCTCATCTTCTTGGGGTTATTGGAAGAGCCATGTCTCTTGAGAAATTGTGTCTCCAGAAAAGTGCTTGAGAATGTATAATAACAAATGATATTTTAGAAGAGATTGTTCTTAGAACAAATGAAAAACTTGCCAGGAATAAAACGAAATATACCGATAGTGATAGAATGGATATCAAAGATTTGGACATTATTGAACTGAGAGCGTTTATCGGTTTGTTATTTTACTCAGCCATATTTTATTCCAATACGGAAGACTTGAATTCGATATTCGTCACCGACGGTACTAGTAGAGAAATTTTTAGATACACCATGTCAATAAAACGATTCTTAGTACTTTTGACAGCGCTTAGGGTTGATGACGAAACTACGAAAGAAGAACTTAAAAAACCGAAAAATTTGCACCCATTTTATTAATTTTCAATTGATTGTAGAAAACAGCAAGTAAATTATTGCACAGGGCAGTATGCTTGTATTGATAAAATGCTCATTGATTTTCGGGAAAGATGTTTATTTCGCATGTACATGCCTCAAAAATCCCGAAAATATGGCTTAAAGATAAAGGCACTAACTGACGCCCTAACTCATTACTTTTTGGATGAGTATGTATATACAGATGCTGGAAGTGATGGCCAAACATTGTCAGAAGAGGAAAGAAAATTTAACAAACAAATGCAATCAGTTCTTCGTCTAGTAAAATTTATTGAGGGTTCTAACCGTAACGTAACAGGGAGTTCACCAGTTACGGGTTAAAATAGTTTTTATCGTTTCCTGTGAAATTACTTTTTTGATTTTAAGGTAAATAATTGTCAAACTTCACTTTTTGCTACGGTCCCTTAATGTAATAAAAAAAGAATTTAAATTTATCGCACGAAGACATCTCCCACTGCTTATTGAAACTTTGGATTAGTCATTGCACACAATTCATCTATATCATGTTTAATTTCGATAATAATTATCCAATTAAAACATATAGTACTGTTATTGCTTTTTAATTAATTATTGAACAATACAATTGCAATATTTGGGTATAAAATGGACCAAGATTAGAATTGGAGCACTTGAGATTCAAAAATCAACAAGATGAAACTCTTGCATATCTTTGTAGTGATCTGTATCTGCGGTATTCAATTCAGCGAAGCAAAATGCTGTCCTGAACCAAAAAAACAGATTATCATTACTGAGTAAGTGTCTCTAAATTTATTAAATTTTGTCATTATATGTTTTACAAAATTTTATATCAAAATTGACCTATGATTATGTAGATTTATTAAAGATATCACTGTTATTCCTTTGCAAGGGAATATAATCCTTGAAAAGGTTTCTTTAATTATATCTTACTTTGGCATACCAAAATAAACTCAGTTTTTTACCATTATTTATTTGTCCAATAATAGTTCATCTGCTTTAAGTATCTGTATCCAGGTATCCCCATCCATTTTCCCAGATTTTATAGTACCGATTTCATATCTTCCTTTACTGTGTTTTTAAATCTTTGCACTATCCACACTTATCATTTTTTATTTGTGATAGAAACATATTGTTCAGATGCAGACTCTATAAATTAATATTTTATTATAATAACTTTTGGGCCTGATTATCTAATTTCTTATGATATAGACATTAAATAATTGATGGATTCGATCGTTACTTGATGGAAATTTATTTTATGTAACAATAAAACACTGAAAAAAACTTCCACAAAATTTATTATAAACTCTTACCACTACAGCTGTTTCAGCTGATTGCCTTTTTCAAGTGATGTGTTTTTGGCATTCGTTTACACTTATTAGTATCTAACGAAAAATATTGAGGAGATGAGAATGTTTATCTCAAGTTGGTCATTCAGAATTATATCTGTGTTTTTTAATTTGTTAATTTCCACAGATTCTACAAAAGATAGCTTAAGGCCTTTATTTTGAGTATAAAAAATTTTAAATTTATCATTAAAAAATGATTATGATCTAGAAGGTGAAGAGCGTATGTAGAATCTATTTTTTTATTATTGAAAGCCCTTTTATGTTCTGCTATTCCGTTTATTAAAATTTCTACAAGTTTGACCGATGTAAGTTTTTGGGCAGTCGCCAGATTTAAGTTTGTGTACACCACTGTGTAAGTGCTTTTTATTTTGGCTCTTGTTGTTTTTAATATATTTGCCTAAGTTGTTATTTATTTTGAAAGCTGGTGTCACTACTTTTTTTATGTGTTGGCTATTTTTATTGATATTTTGCCTGAATATGTAATTTAGCGGAAGGTACTGGGTTTTTTCTCTGGTAATAATAATTTCAGGGCTTTCTTGTGCAGTTTTTGATTTAAAATTGTATTAATTGTTTGTTTATTGTATCCATTGTTTACTGCTATTTGCTTAATGATATTTAACTCTGTCTCAAAGTTGTATTTTGACATTGACATTTCTGTTAATCTATGTAACATACTCTGATAGGCTGCCAGTTTATGTTATGTGGGATGGGATGATGAATTGTGTATAGTCGTGTTAGTATGGGTAGTTTTATGAAATATGGAGAAGTCATGTTTGTTTTTAAGTCTGATAATTTTTAAATCTAAAAAATTTATGGATTTATTTTGTTCTGTTTCTATTGTAAATACAATATGGCTATAAAGTAAATTAATATACGACAAAAATTGGTCGAGTTGGCTATTAGTTCCTGTGAAACATACCAGTACGTCGTCTACGTATCTCCACCAATATAAAAACTATATATGCACCAATATATAAAAATGTTATAACGAATTTAAACATGATGTCTAACAGGACACAGAGCGTTATTAATTTAATTTTTTATACTTTTAGCGCAAACGTTGCAGCTTTTGTGAAGTGTCTGAAAGATTTAGTGGAGACGCATAATAAACCAGAACATTTCCATAAACAGATTGTTGAAAGGTAAGTCATTTTGAGTATGTTGGTAAAAGTTTTATCATTGATATACATACAATAACATTTAAAAAATGAGTCAGTAAAAAATAATATTGTTTAAGAATAAAAATGTTTAGTCTCAAAACAGTATGTGATTTTGAGCTTACTTTCTTATGTCTTTTTTACGTTTACTACTATACTTTTGGCTAATTGATTAAGTCCACAGTCTAAAGAAACCAACATACTATATTTTTTGGAAATAATCTATTTAAATAATTAATATCACTCATATTTTAACTTAGATTTTTTATTATTCGTCAAGAAACTAGAATTGTAATAGTTTTCAATGTTCTTTAGATATTCATTGCATTATTTCACTATTGCAATTTGATCAAGCATAATTTATTATATATAAAATAATCAGAAATCAAATAGATTATATCGCTGCACCAATCAGATTTAGAAACTCCATCAAAGCCGTAAAAACTTACCCGGGTGCGGACGTAGCATCAGACCACAATCCGGTGGTATGTAAGTTTGAAGTAAAGTTAAAAAAGGAAAATGTAAAGAACAGGCCCATATTAAAAATCCTTAAAAATAACAATAAACCGCTGGAAAAGTGGAGTGAAATTAAAGAAGAGATTAGGACTTCAAGCACTTCAAGTTTTTACTACCTGATAAGAGAAAAAAGAAAGACTGGATGACTGCAGAAATCCTTGACATGATGGAAGAGAGACGGATATATAAAACTAAAGATACTGCCAAATACCGTGAAACCCGTAGACAAATAAGAGCTGAGATAAGAAAAACTAAAGAGAAATGGTTCCCGGAGAGATGCGAAGAAATCGAACAGTGCGAAAAGGTATACGACTATCACAATATGCATAAGAAGATAAAGGAACTCACAACAAAGAAAAGCTACAATATTTTATCGAAAGCGCTGTGCGATGATAATGGAAATCTACAACTAGACCCCGACAAAATAGTTAGACTCTGGGAAACTTATGTGGAACAACTGTTTAATGATGACCGTCCTAGTGGGTGTACAGTGAGCAATGATAATACTGGCCTTCTATTCTAAAATCAGAAGTGGAGAATGCTATAAAGGGTCTTAAAAATAACAAAAGACAAGGCAACCATATCGTATACGGGGAAGTATTGAAAATGCTGTGCGAAACAAACAGTCAATTTCTAGACTCACTCGTCAGACTCTTTAACAATATTTATAATAGCGGGGAGTTTCCTGAAGATTAGCTAGAGTCAACTTTTGTTGCCATACCGAAAAAACCAAAAGCAAAGTCTTGTGATCAACATCGGATAATAAGTCTAATTAACCACATTTCGAAGGTTATTTACAACAGAATACGCAAAAAATGCGAGGATAACATTGGAGATTCGCAGTTTGGGTTCCGGAATTCTCTTGGGACAAGAGAAGCACTTTTTAGTCCACAGGTACTCATCCAGCGCTGCAGAGATATAAACAAAGACGTGTACATATGCTTTATAGACTACGCAAAAGCCGTCGATAACGTAAAGCACGAAAAGATAATTGAAGTTCTCCATAAGATCCGAGTCGACTACAGAGACATTCGAACAATAGCGAGTCTCTATTGGGGTCAAACAGCTAAAGTGAAAGTAGGATCTACATTGACCAATAAAATTGATATCAAGAAAGGGCTGTATCTGGTCTCCAATTCTTTTTAATATGTACTCAGAAGAAGTATTTAAGACAGCGCTGGAGGAAAGCACAGAAGGCATAAAGATAAATGGAGAAAACATAAGGTATGCTGATGACACTGTGATTCTAGCAAGTAGCATGAAGGAACTGAGTTGCCTAATGAGTAAGATACAAAAAACAAGTGCACAACACAAACTCAGACTAAATATCACAAAAACCAAATGGATGTTAGTAAGTAAAACGCAACAACCACCACAGCAACTGATATTAGACAATGAAAGAATTGAACACGTGGATTCGTACATCTACTTGGGAACAACAGTTAACTCAAATTGGGATCAAGCGAAGGAAATACGAGTAAGAGTAGAAAAGGCAAGAGCATCGTTCACTAGCATGAAGCAAATTTTCACCTCTAAAAGCTTCGCCCTACCTCTCAAAATTCGACTTCTGAAATGTTATGTATTCCCGGTTTTGTTATATGGAATGGAGGCGTCGACAATGACCGCAACATTGATAAAAAAAGTAGAGGCCTTCGAAATGTGGGCTTACCGACGTATATTACGTATATCCTGGACTGAACACGTGACCAACGAAGAGGTACTACGCCGGATAGGTAAAGAGATAGAGGTAGGAATAAGTATAAAGAAAGGAACGTTGGAATACTTGGGTCACGTTATGAGACATAATAAATATAGAGTACTACAGCTGATCGTTCAAGGGAAAGTAGACAGCAGAAGGGGTCCAGGGAGGAGAAGACACTCGTGGCTCCAAAACTTGCGACAATGGTTCGGATTGTCATCTGCTGAACTATTCAGATCTGCCGTAAACAAAGTCAGAATAGCCATGTTGATTGCCAACGTTCGGAACAAACAAGGTACATGAAGAAGAAGAATAACTTATTAGCTTATATTTAATTTAATAAATTACTAAAGGTTGTTAAAAATTACCCTTAAGAATGCGTCTTTTTATCTTATCTTACAAATAATGTAGTAAAAATAAAAAAAAGACTGTATTCTGCTCTTCACTGCACACTTAAACTAGATTAAAGGGTCTTGTCCTTTTTAGTCTTCTATTATTAGCCCCATTAGCCCCATTATTAGAAGCTTTCGAAATGTGGCTTTATCGCCGTATCCTAAAAATACCATGGACAGCGAAAATCACAAATATAGATGTCCTTAAAAGAATAAACCAAGAACGCCAACTTTTCGAAACCATCAAGAAAAGGAAAACGGCGTATCTAGCTCACATCATGCGAAATGAAAAATACCAGTTCTTCCAACTTATAATCGAGGGTAAAATTGAAGGCAAGAGAGGAATGGGACGCAAGAAAATGTCCTGGCTCCGAAACATAAGGCAATGGACAGGGATTAACGACATACAATCTCTGATACATATTGCAAGAAATAGAGAATTAATGGAAAATGTGATCGCTAACATCCATAAGTGGATTTACATCTGAAGAAGAAGAAGATAGCCCCATTCGTGTCAAGTAGTTGGATTACCTCGACATTATCAGGGCGTATAAAGTCTCTGCTTAAGTCTTTCTGCTGCCCTCTTAATAAGTGTATCCACTGTTTTCATTTCCAGGTCTCAGTGGAAATCACTGTTGTGCAAGTACTAATGGACATCAAGGATATTCGTCAGTACTTTGTCCTGGAATCTCTCTTCTCTTCTTCTAGTGCCACCTCCACTAATGAAGGTTGGCTATAACCGTTGCAAATTTGTCTCTATATGCTGTTTTTCCTACTGTTTTTTTTTATAAATATACTGTCTTTCTTCTTTAAATGGTGGTCAAACGTTCTTTCTCATCCCAGTATGTGAAACATTATTTCGTTCGTAATATAATCGGTCCATGGTATTTTTAAAATTATGTTAAAAGGCCAAATCCCAAAAGCTTACAGCTTTCTTATTAAGGCAACATTTACAGTCCAAGCGTCTGCACCATAAGAAAATTAGAGTGGATATATCATTTTACTATACGATATTGGATTTGCAAATTCAGATTTTAGTTACTTAGAAATTTCTTTATCTTTAAAAAGTCTACTCTTCATTTCTCCATTCTTGATCAAATTTCTGATTTCGGATTTAGATCTTCAGAAATCCAGACTATAAGTTGAGCCGCTGAAAAGATGGAATGATCGCGTGAATGGCACGCACCCTTAAATATTCCTCTTCCTATGTTATCACTTTTCCCACGTTTACACCGCTCAACAAAAACGAACTAATACTCTCGCTATAATATATTTATACCGTTTTTTTACAGGTTATTGATTTACATTAAATTTAAACATTCTATTGGCGTTTGCGTCTAGGTTAAAATTCTAAATTTTAATTTTTATACGGTGAACAAATAAAAAAGTTTATATAAATATGTCAAAAGTAAACTTTAAATAGTATTAAGAGATAGATTCGTTTTATAAATTTGATGAAATGAGATTCGTTTGAATAGAATATAATATCTTTATTCACAAGAATAGAAAAACACGTTTTTGTTTGGATGAATATTATAGTAAAATTTTAATTTAGTAAAGAAAATAATTGTAAAAGTAAATGTCAAGAATTTTACATCTACTTGGAAACAACAGTTACTCAAATTGGGATCAAGCGAAGGACATACGTATAAGAGTAGAAAAGGCAGGAGCATCGTTCACTAGCATAAAGCAAATTCTCACCTCTAAAAGCCTCACCCTACCTCTCAAAATTCGACTTCTGAAATGTTATGTATTCTCGGTTTTGTTATATAGAATGGAGGCGTCGACAATGACCGCAACATTGATGAAAAAAGTAGAGGCCTTCGAAATGTGGGCTTACCGACGTATATTATGTATATCCTGGACTGAGCACGTGACCAACGAAGAGGTACTACGCCAGATAGGTAAAGAGAGAGAGGTAGGAATAAGTATAAAGAAAAGAAAGTTGGAATACTTGGGTCACGTTATGAGACAATAAATATAGAGTACTACAGCTGATCGTTCAAGGGAAAATAGACAGCAGAAGGAGTCCAGTGAGGAGAAGACACTCATGGCTCCAAAACTTGCGGCAATGGTTCGGATTGTCATCTGCTGAACTATTCAGATCTGTATAAACAAAGTCAGAATAGCCATGTTGATTGCCAACGTTCGGACTACTTAGTCCCTAAATATGATTGAGTATTATTTTAGAAAAAATTACGTTTTTCATTATTATGTAAAAATAGTATAATTTAACGTAATAAATGTAAAAAAAATATTATGTAAACAAAATTAAAGCTAGTAAATAAACGTAATACAGGTTTACTATAACTTATGCTCTGAAAGAGGGAGATACTTTCCGTTGATTTCTAAAAATTGTCCGGGAATAATAAGGTCAGATCTGGACCTCGGTTGAAGAGCTACGTCAAAAAATCAACCCTGGAACCAGGTGTAATCTGACTAGGTTTAAACTTAAACCTTCTTCTTAAAAAAATTTACCCAAAAAAATAAAATTAAAATATTCTTCCCCTGACTTGAGTTCTTTCTTTCGAGTAGGGAAAAAACACAAGGTTTATGAACCTTAAAAGGTGTTATAAAAGTTAAGTATGAAGTGTGAAAGCAAAAAAATTTAATGGTTTTGTAAAGAATGTGACCTTCGTATGGTTTGACAATATTTTAAGTAAAATGGATTAATTATATCGACAATTTTAACGAAAAGTACGATATGGATAATGATATATTTTTTCAACTCTCTTACTAGTAAATTGTATATTACCTACTATTTGAATGCTAAGTAAATGCATCATAACAGATACTGACACATAATGAGTAGCACGTAATAAAAAAAATTAGGCTTCAGTTTTATAATAGTATATTACATAACGAGAGTTGTAAGAAGCTTATTACATGCGAGTAAAAAAGTTGCGCGCGAGCCGCGTAGCGGCGAGCGCAGTAATTTTACAAGCATGTAATAAGCTTACAACTCAAGTTGTGTACTATACTTTTTCTACGATTATTTTCGTTTATAAAAATAAAAATTAAATTACCACTATATTTACACTGACAGATTAATCATTTTTAATCTGTCAAAATAACGTCTGTTAATTCGTTTCCATGGTAACTCGACCAACTGACTTACGAGGCTTATGTGATATTAAACATTTTTTTCTACTCTCTTACTAGTAAATTGTATATTACCTACTATTTGGATGCTAAGTAAATGCATCATAACAGATACTGACACGTAATGACTAGCACGTAATAAAAAAAATTACGCTTCAGTTTTATAAAAATGTTTAATATCACATAGCCTCGTAAGTCAGTTGGTCGAGTTACCATGGAAACGAATTAACAGACGTTATTTTGACAGATTAAAAATTATTAATCTGTCAGTGTCAATATAGTGGTAATTTAATTTTTATTTTTATAAACGAAAATAATCGTAGAAAAAGTATAGTACACGAACTTGAGTTGTAAGCTTATTACATGCTTGTAAAATTATTGCGCTCGCCGCTACGCGGCTCAAGCGCAACTTTTTTACTCGCATGTAATAAGCTTCTTACAACTCTCGTTATGTAATATACTATTAATATCACATAAGCCTCGTAAGTCATTTGGTCAAGTTACCATGGAAACGAATTAATAGACGTTATTTTGACAGATTAAAAATTATTAATCTGTCAGTGTAAATATAGTGGTAATTTAATTCTTATTTTTTATAAACGAAAATAATCGTAGAAAAAGTATAGTACACAACTTGAGTTATAAGCTTATTACATGCTTGTAAAATTAGTGCGCTCGCCGCTACGCGGCTCGCGCGCAACTTTTTTACTCGCATGTAATAATCTTCTTACAACTCTCGTTATGTAATATACTATTATAATTTATAAAGAACGGTATAACACAGAATATTTTTATCGAAACTCTTAATAGATAATAGATTGTTTTAAAGGTAGATAATTATGTTTTTAAGGCCGGGAAGTAAAATTAAAATACATATGATTTTAGATCAATAACACTTTTGATTTAGATGTTGAATATTTCTTAATGAAATATTCAACTCTCAACATGCTCTTATATGCAGTTAACGATGATGCACTGGTTAACAAGAAAGAAGAATTCTACGAGAAACTAAACCGAGAAATAACATCGATAGGAAATACGAGGGAATTAATCCTGCTTGGAGATTTTAATGGCAGGGTCGGAAAAAAACAAAACTATAAAATAGTTGGTCCTTACGGAGAAAGCATAATAAATGACAATGGGACCAGACTTATCACAATATGCGAACAGAACCAGCTCCGTATTACAAATGGATTCTATCAGCATCGAGAAGTACACAAATACACCTAGGGACAGAGAACAAGGAATCTAAAATCTATAATAGATTACTTGATTGTACGCCAAAGATCAAATCTTAAAATCTACGACGTAAGAGCTTATAGAGGCGCAGTTTGTGGAAGCGATCACCATTTCTTAAAAGCAAAAATAATGTTCTCAAGAAGAAGCCAGAATGAACAACCAGTAGTTCGCTCAGAGATGGCAGAAGATGTAAGATATAATCTTATCAGCCTAGATCAAGATAGTGTAAAAATATTGTATCAAAACAGACTGAACGAGAAACTTGAAAACATAAATTTCAATAACATCGAAGACCACTACAATTACATTAAAGAAAGTATTCACTCTGCAGCAAAAGAAGCGCTTGGATATTACGAAAAGAAAAACAAAAATACTCCATACTGGTGGGATGAAGAAATAGACACAGCGATAAAACAAAAGAAACAAAAGTATGAACAATATTTAAGTGCAAAAACAGATACAAATTGGTCTGATTACAAAAACCATCAAGCTAAGGTGAGACAAATGATAAGACAGAAAAAAAATGAATCCTAGGATCAAAACTGTCAAAAATTAAATACGTACATAGGACTAACTAGAAGTACAGAAAGCTGGAAACTTATTAGATCTCTTAGGACCAACGACAAGAAAAAAGATTTAATCTCACCAATTTCGTTAGAAACATGGGACATGTACTTCAGTAAACTGTTACAAGAAGACCGAATGGAATTCAAAATAAAAGAAAGTAACCAAAACATACGCGTTGAAGCATCTCCTATAAGAATCACGAAAAAGGAAGTAAGGGATATCTGTATTTCACTCAAAAACAAAAAAGCTCCCGGACCTGGCAATATACCCTCAGAACTGATAAAATATGGAACTGAAAAACTATATGAGCATTTGACAATACTCTTTCAAAACTGCATAAACAAAGTAGAGGTTCCAGCCGAATTTAAAACCTCAACCATTTCAACTTTACATAAAAAGGGAAACAAACAAAATTGCGACAATTACCGTGGAATAGCAGTTACTAGTACCATTAGTAAAATCTATGGGAAAATGATCAAAAATAGAATAGAAAGAGAATACACTGATATGGAGGCAGAAGAACAGGCGGGTTTTAGAGCTGGTAGATCGACCATAGACCACCTTTTTTGTATCACCCAACTTATAGAAAAAAAGGTTGCTGTAGATCAAGAAGTCCACTTTTTGTTTGTTGATCTAAAAAAGGCCTACGATAGCATCCCTCAAAATAAGTTATGGAACACTCTCAGACAAACGAACATCAATTCAAATCTCATAACAGCAGTGGAAAAACTATATGAGAACGCCAACGCCAAAGTTAAAATAGGAACGAATGTTTCCAAAGGTTTTGTAGTAGTCAAAGGACTGAAGCAGGGATGCTGCTTAGCGCCGACACTTTTCAAAATATATCTGGAACAAGCATTAAAACTCTGGAAGCGGAAATGCAGCGGCATGGGTATACAATTAAACAATAACAACCTGTACACTCTATGTTTTGCTGATGATCAAATTGTGATTGCTAACGAATATGACAACCTAGAATACATGACTCGAAAATTAATCGAAGAATACAAAAAATGGGGATTAGAAGTCAACATAGATAAAACAATGTACATGAACATCGGTGGTAAAGAACAAAATCTAGTTTTAAACGACGGACAACACATTAAGTACAACAATAAATATTCCTATTTAGGAGTAGAAATCACAGACGACGGCAAATCAGATCAGGCTATAAAAAAACAATAGTATTATCTCAACTAAATAGTATTATCTGGGATCAACATATATCCAAAAAAAATAAACATCGAATATACAACACTATTATAAAGAGCATAGTAATGTATGGAAGTGACGTGTGGCAGTTAAAGCAACTACTGAAAGAACACTACAAGCCACGGAGATGGACTACTGGAGACGGGCCGCAGGAAAATCAAAACTCGAAAGAATTAATAACGAACGTATACGAGAGGTTATGGGAATCACACATACGATTGTCGAAGATATAAGAGTACAACAACTAAAGTGGTATGGACATGTGCAGAGAATGCCAGAACATCGTCTGCCCAAACAGATTATAGATTGGTCACCACATGGAAAGAGAAAAAGAGGCCGACCCAGAAAGAGCTGGAGAGAAGGAATAGACAGAGAGATCCGAGAGAGAGGTTTAGACGAAGATCTTTGGAAGATAGAGATGCATGGAGATTGGGCATCGGAAGACGTCGGAGGACGTTTTAAACCGAATATATATATATAATATATATATATATATATATATATATATATATATAAATATATATAATATATATATATATATATATAAAAATATATATATATATATATATATATATATATTTCTTAATGAAATGAATGGATAATAGTTCAGATAAATATATCGAATCAAATGAAAAATGATAATACTATAGGATCTCAAAATGGCTGACGGTTTTTATATTTTCGTTTTATTGATAATTAGATACACTTACCATCTCAGAGTGGCTATAAACCAAACAGGACACTTAAAAAACCCAAAACTAAAAGTTTCTGCTACTTCTTCTTCATAAAAAAACTTTTAAGCCACCTCTGTCCCTTACCTTTAAACTCAAGTGTCTTTAAAGAACGTTGAAGCAGAAGTCCGCAATGGACACTTGTTTTGAGCTAGCTAAACTATGGTTTAGCTAGCTTTGAATTTAAAAATTTTATTTAAAAATGTTTAAGGATTATTGAAGTGACGGATTCGTTACAACGAAGCATATTTTTTTTTCTAGAGTTCAGACTGTGTCAGACAAGTTTAAAGTAACTACTGAAACACGTAGTCTGCTTACAGACTTTAAGACTTTGTTGAGAAAAATCTATTTTGGATTAAAATCCGTAATCGATCTGCTATTGCCTCCTCATAAGGATCTCTTCGATGTAAGTATTTTGTTTTTCTAGTATATATTATATTATTATTAATTTCAATATCTGGTAAATATAATTTTATTAGAGAGTGCAATATATATATATATATATATATATATAATATATATATATATATATATATATATATATATATATATATGTAAGTATTTTGTTTTTCTAGTATATATTATATTATTATTAATTTCAATATCTGGTAAATATAATTTTATTAGAGAGTGCAAAATATATAATATATATATAATATATATATATATATATATATATATAATATATATATATATAAGATAGATCCTTGTTTAAATAATTGTTAAATTTATAATTTTGTCCAAGTATTTATATACAATTTACGCTATTGTAAAACTAGCAGCTAGATTTGTTGCAGGAACTAGAGCGTATTATTCCCTAGCGACGCTATTTAAATCAAAATTGCTCTTAATGACAGCTAAAACAAAGTTATAATAACTTTGATAAAATGAAAGGCAGAAGGTAGATCATCTTCAGGGGCATTTCATCAATTTTAGCCTATCCACCAATCTATTGAGAATGCCATAAACTTAAAATTGTACATTATTTTAGAGAGAGAGAATTCTTAGTTCTAGAAATTATTAATTATTAGGAGAGAGAAAGTTATATTAAACTGTAGTTCATCGCAAGCCAACGTAAAACAACAAAATTATTGATATGAAGACATAACCGGAAATTACAAGCACTCTATGAAGAAGAAAACGTAGTACGACACATAAAAAAATCGGATAATCGACCCGATTGTAGAAGGTCCATTGGTAGCCCAAGAATAAGATGGAAAGAGGCAGTAACGAGTGATCTACGTAACATGTTAGTGTAACAATGATGAACTGCTGCAAAGACAGACAAGAATAGAGAAAAATAATAAACGCAGCCAAGACTCACTTAGAGTTATGGAGCTAAAAAAGCAGAAGAAGAAAACTGACATATACACACAGTTATTTACTACAAAAGTAGAAAACCCAGTCTTTTTGTTTTTTAGGTTTTATGTTTCTGCTTACCTGCAGCTAATGATTGGCAATATAGCACGACACAAGCTCTGTACTATAACAATACTTACTTGACTTTATCGTGTCCGGACATGTCATTCATAAAATTTCGACCCAGTATCGAGCTACGTCAGTTTCATCTTTGTTGGTGAGCCATAAATCTTCAAGAGTAGATCGATAAGGACAGTTTCTGCATGTAAGAAGATGTTCCATATTCTGTGTTTTTCCACAGTCACAGTTCACATCATCTTGGTCTATTTTTCCCCATTTTGCCATGTTTGATTTTACTGGAGCGACCCCTGTTGTTAACCTAATCATAGTTTTCCACGTTTTAAAGTCTAGTAACTGGCCGGTCCATTGAACTTGGGGATACTCAGGCAGTTCTTCCTGCACTGTTCCAAGGAAGCTTTTCCTAGATTTTAGTCGCTTTCGTGGTGTTCGAGCTTTGTATAGGGTATGCCGCTCCTCCGCGTTCTGTTTAATTTTCTCTGTGCTCTGCAACGCCTCTGGGTGTTGAGGGTTCTGAAAAACCCGCTGCTTTATATAGATTTGAAAGTGGCGTTGGTTTCATGTACCCGTTACTATCCTGCATGTCTCATTTAGCGCAGTATCATTTTTTTTGGTGAGGGCAGATCTGCCCCAAACGGGGCACGCATATTCAGCAGTTGAGAAACACATACTTTCCTCTCTCGTTTTTATGCAATGTTGTTTGTAAGTGAGGGACCAGTCCAGAGTTACTCCAAGATATATAGGTTGGTTTGTGTGTTCTAATGTATTACCATTCCACACAATTTGGAGTTTTCACTTGGCTTTCTTTGCGCGAAGGTGGAAAGCGCAGACTTGAGTTTTAGAGGGATTGGATCTCAGAGAATTATGCAGGTAGTACGCTGTCATTGTTTTTAAGCCAGTTTCGAGTTTCTCCTCCACTTCTTCAAAACTATTTCCTTGAGCACATATTGCAAGATCGTCAGCATAGAGGAAGTGCTTGGTTTCGGTCGGAGTAGGTTGGTCGTTTGTGTATATATTGAAGAGCATTGGTGCTAAAACACTTCCCTGTGGGAGGCCGTTCTTTTGAACTTTCCACCTACTTACTTTACCCTCCAGTATAACGAAAAAACGTCTGTTTTGCAGTAATGAATATACAACTTTTCCAGATGGTGGTCATTGATAGTGTCGTATAATTTATGGAGCAATGTTTTGTGCCTTTCTGTGTCATAGGCTGCTATCAGGTCTACGATAGCAGCCCCTGTTATGTTTTTCTTTAAAGCCCTCTTCAATGCGTTCTGTTAGTGCGAGGACTTGACCGGTGCAAGATTTGCCGGGTCTGAATCCTCCTTGTTGTGGGATGAGGTGCTTGTCGACATTTTTTTCTATTCTGGTGAGTATGAGTCTCTCATATAGTTTAAAAAAGTGACACAATAGCGAAATAGGTTTGTAGCTACTGGGGTTTTCTGGATCCTTTCTTGGTTTTAACAAGGCTATTACTTTAGATTTCCTCCATGATTTTGTAATTTTGCAGCACGTGTTATAAAATTGCAAGATCCAGTTCGTTGCTCCTTGTCCTAGATGCTTTATTTGTTCACTGCATATATCATCCACACCTGCAGCTTTCCCGTTTTTTAACCTGTTTATACCGTGGAGTTCTTTTAGTGTAAAAGAAGATTCTAGGTAGTTTGTCTCCGAATCCAATCTTCTCGTAGTGTTTGGGTCCTTCCTTCGTAAGGAGTTGAGCAGCTACTTGGTTTGCTGTAACCTTGCAAGGTGGTTTATGTTCTTTTGGTTCACCGCGTAGTTTTTTTACAAGGTTCCATGCTATTTTGCTACTATGTGTCATGTCAATTTTTTCCAAGGTCTCAATCCACTTTTCCTGTCTGGCTTGACTTAGCTATTAGAGTAGTACTGCTCCGCAGTCAACTGTTTCTTGGCTAAAAGGGTCAGTGAAATAGAGGGTTTTGTATGTTCTCATTAGTTCTTTGGACTCGCTGGAATACCGGGAACATATTGTTGTCTACATCCTCTAGGATAGTTCTAGACACATTTTGATTACTCTACAATTTTTTGTAGTCTCTACTTTGGTTCAAGACGTAGCAGCTTAGAATCTAGTATGTCTGTATAGTTTTGCCAGTTTGCCTTTTTGAAGTTAAATCTTCTTCTGAATGGAATAGCTTGTGGTCTGACAATTGGAAAGATATTCATACCAATTGGTCTATGTTTTTGGTATTGGGCCATATACTACTTTGATACATCGGTCTTCGAGATTGTTACTTGAAAAACAGATATCCGGGTTATATCCTCTTTTCCAAACTTTGCTCTGGAAATATGGTGGAAGTTTAGGATCGTGGATTAACGTGAGGCCACTCGTTTCGGTCCATGCTTCTACTGCGTCTCCATTTGAGTCCGAATCTGCATAGCCTTAGAGTAAACTGTGACTGTTAAAGTCTCCCAGTACAAGCTAATTGGGTTGTAATTGAAAGTTAGTTGGGGGTGAAAATATAAAAGGCTGGTTTGGGGGCTTGTATACCGAGGTTATTGTGCATTTTCCAATCTCAGTGGTTATTATCTCTATACTGTGTACATTTGTTGTTCCCACAGATGAGACTATGGTTTTAGATCTAATTTGGTTTGGTCCGGTGTTGGAAGGATTAGCCATCTACTAGTAGACGTTTCCAGGGGACACCGTCGAGAGTGTTTACTTTGCAGTTAATGTGGCACTATTGATCTCATGGAGGCTCCTTCCTTGTCCCCCAGTATAACAATAAATAGATGAGCTGTTAAAAGCGAATACAACAATACTTAAACTTAAATAAAAGAGCATCAACTCTCAAAAAATAAAAATAGATGATACTAACAGTAGTAATTACATAGTTATATCTTATTACAGATTGCTGCTGAAGGTATAATGAAAGTTATACGTCTTTTTGTTCATAACAATGAACCACTGGTGGATCTATTGGAAAAAATAGTGGTTGCATTAGCATCTGTACATAGAATAGCAGTTCTCAGTGCTTTAGATATCCTCATAGGGCCTCTAAAAAGTACTTAAGATATGATCTATAGATATGATTTATATATTTATGTTGATCGTAATACAATTATTGTTTAAATCATGATATTGTTTGTATCTGTATCTTGCCAATAAATTGTTTAAAAAGATTTGTTTGTTTTATTATATAGACCATGTAACGAAATATTTTGCCTACCACATAGGGTTATATTATAGGGGTTGAAAATTGGGACAGAAATTATTGGGCTAGAGATAGGGCAAGCAAAACAATCAAAACTAATGCAAACGGCACTCAGAATTTATTTGGAAAGCTGGGGTCGTGGATAAGTTGAATGGCAAGGGGTTGGATTAGGGCAACTACAAAAATGAAACACAAGCGTACTAACATGAATCTCCTGGACAAATGGGCAAACACAACAAGAAGGACCACTAGCTATTTATAATGGACGCCGCTTTAAAGGATCCCTTTGTTGAATAAGGAAACTTTATTCAACAGAGGGATCCTTTAGAGGGTCCTCTAGAGGAGAGATTAAAATAAATCTCAATCCATATTAGTAACGAGAATGGTATTAGAACAATTATTAGGTGCAGGCCACCATTTATTACAACACAGTTTTGGCACCTCAAACTTACTGAATTCAAACTAAAAGATGAATCGCCATAGCCTCAGACATTTAATGAAAACAAAACCAAACACACCTGGTTTATTTCTTATAAGATAAACTCGTTAAAATACACCGGCCATTATAAGGCGGCGCATTTGTTTCGGTTTTTAATGATGTGAACAATTTTTTGTGGTTAAATTAAAAATAAAAGCTCATTTCTGTAAAAAGATAAAACAAAAAATATAATCTTATTGAAAATAAAAAATAATTCCCAATGAAATAAAACATAATTCTTTATGACCTACAAAATTAATAAAATATTTGACCTACGGCTAAACAGTATTCCAATCTGTTATAAAAACTTCTGCGGACATATCGATGGCTTGGTTCCAAATGTGGCTAACTACAATTTTTCCATTTTTGAGCTATTTACACAGTAGATCGCATAATTATTTTAAGTTTTGTTCCAAATGTGGCGAAATGCATTAATTTAAAAATTGGCGCCAGAATATATAGAATCATTAGTATCTATGTACACAATGAAGGTAGTTTGCAATTCCATATGCAGCTAGTAACACATAGCCACCTTTGAAATGGACATCTTTCGATATAGGTGAAGTTAGCGCCATTTATTTTACTATAACCCATGATACAAAGAACACATTACATGTAATGTGTTCATTGTACATGTGTTCATTGTACCGTGGGGCTGTAGTCTATCGTAGAAAGTAAAACAATTATGTGTATGTAAATGAATGGGATCTTCTTAATAAAGAGCGCTCCGTTGATTGAAGGTACCACCTATAAACGGGCTAGGCCTGATGAATGGGAAGTATAGAAAGATGTGAAATAACCACGCTAGAACGGTTTCTGTCACCATAGCTCTGGAGTATCTCTTGCAGTTATTCGAGAGACTAGGACTGGATGAACTGCTTCAGCGACCAAGAAGCAGCCTACCCAAGCTAAGGTGTGAGGTAATCGTGCTGATGACTGTATGGCCATAGGGTTTTATGTGGTCGTGAACGATCCTCCTGGGGAACCTGGCAAACCCCATAGTATGAAGTTTTCTCCTAGTAATGCGGGACTCTGCTAGTGGTGGCCAACCTTTCTCTAGCTACTCGTGGGAGCAACATGTTTGTACAACATGTTTACCTTAAATTTCATCCCAAGCGAACGATGAACAAGAACCACCACAGGAAATCGGCCAAATCGCCGCAGAATTTGTGGCGCCGAGGTAGAAAGAAGAAGGAAGGCCAGAGAAGCAAAGGGAAAAGCACCTGCGAGAGCAGCTCATCCCTCTCCAGCCCCTCCTAAAACAAATGCTGAAACAAATCATGCCAGATATTTGCTCTATTTTAACGATGCTCAATTTTTATAGTGTTGTTGTTCGCATGAAATATCTTATTTTTTATATATTATAGCGAGATGCTGAGCTCATAAAACTATTAAACACCGACGGTATTCAACACCTAACAAAAGTATTTAATGATATATATTTAAGCGAAGTAATACCAAGAACATGGCTAAAGTCGACCTTTATTGCTTTACCAAAGAAAACAAAATCCGTATCCTGCAGTGATTTCCGAACCATTAGCTTAATGAGTCATATTTTAAAATTATTAAAAATAAAAATTAAAAATCATACATCAAAGGATATATAGACTGTGCGAAGAAAAAATCAGACTTACACAGTTTGGTCTTCGGAATGCAGTGGGTACGAGAGAGGCTCTCTTTAGTATACAAATGCTATTTCAACGATGTATAGACGTGAACTGCGACATTTATGCGTGCTTCATTGACTACCACAAAGCGTTCGATACAGTAAAGCACGACAAGCTGATGGAGATATTAACCAATATTGGAATAAACACCTGTGATTTAAGAATTGTCAGCAGTCTGTACTGAAATCAAACATCATCTATCCGAACAGAGGCAGGAGAATCCGACGATATCAAAATCAAACGTGGCGTCCGTCAGGGATGTATACTATCACCACTGTGTTTAAGATATACTCTGAGGAAATCTTTCAAGAAGCAGTGGGTGATGTTGAAGCCGGAATTCGAATCAACGGAGAATCTATCAATAACATTAGATACGCGGACGACACGGTAGTATTCGCTGACAGTTCTGAAAACCTCCAGGAGTTAATGAACAGAATCACAGAGGTCAGTCAGAGATACGGACTTTCACTAAACACTAAGAAAACAAAATGCATGATGATCTCTAAGAAGGAACAGCAATTTGGACAAATCAGTGTAAACGGTCAACAAATAGAAAGAGTAAAAACATACACCTACCTTGGTACGAACGTCAATGAAAATTGGGACCATTCCATAGAAATCAAATGTAGAATAGAGAAAGCAAGATCTGCATTTCAAAAAATGGCCTAAGTTATTCAAATGTCATGATTTATCAATGCCATAAAAATCAGGTTACTACGATGTTACATCTTTCCTATACTGTTGTACGGAGTTGAGTCATGGACTCTCACTGACGCCACCTGCAAGAAAATTGAGGCTTTTGAAATGTGGCTTTATCTCGAGATTCGCGACACGTTACTAATGAGGGTATTCTGTTGAGAACGAAAAAGAAAAAGAGTTGTTAACCACAATAAAAACAGCCAAAACTAATACCTGTGTCACATCATGAGGAACAGCGAAAGATATGGACTGCTGCAACTAATCTTGCAGGGAAAAGTAGAAGGAAAACGGGGACCAGGAAGGCGAAGGATTTCCTGGCTGAAAAATCTACGAACGTGGTTCAACACAACAACCACAAATCTTTTTAGAGCAGCAGTATGCAAAGTGCAGATTGCCATAATGGTCGCCAACATCCGAAAACGGATAGTCACTACAGAAGAAGAAGTAGCGAGATTAAATAAAACGAGCCGTTCGAATATATATAAAATATTTATTTATAACTTTACAGTTTGGTGCTATGTTATCAACTAAACTACCTCAATCATATATAATATAATATATATATATATATATATATATATATTATATATATATATATATATATACAAATTATTATGTTCGAGAATATTCGGGAGTAGTCCACCTCTAATTCGTTATTTAACGGGTGGCTTTTTACAGTGCTCGATATATCGCCGGAAACTTCTCCGTTACCTGCAACCGTTACATGGGCCATTCTGAAAGCATGTTCATAACACTGGTCCCCTCTTAGATCTGAGCGTCCCGATCAGCAACTCTATATGTAGGCCCAGGATAGTGGAATCTATAAGCCTCTCCAGCTCTACATGATCCCCTCAAGAAGAAATAGCAGTCTACTGTCTTTGAAGTACGCGATCTCTTCGGATTAGTGCAACACACAGTAATTCTTATGTCTGTTTCTCGGAAGATCACTTCAAGCATGCTTCTGACAATCTTCCAATCCAGATTATCTAGTGCATGGCCTATCTTGGGTAAGGCCAATTCCGAAAGCATGTTCGTAACAATATTAATGTTTTTGCTTTGTTGTATGACAGTGATTTTGAAATGAAAGACGATTATATTGTTACTAACTTTACTTGCTATAACCATTTATAGTGACACTTAAAACTATAAAATTTACAATCAATTATCAATAATTATTATTTAGATTCGGGATTTTCTTTATCATTTTCATTATCTTCGTTCTCTTCCTGTATTTCCATAAGATCAAGTGGTATATCTTGAGGTAGTTGCTCATCATCCAGAACCTGCAAACAAATAGTATTTTATAAAAGTAGTTAACGAATATTACCTTTATAAATAAAACGTTCCTAGGGCCCGTAATTTTTGGAGCTCGAAAATTAGGTTTTTATTTTTTATAATTAATTATGCCGAATCATTGTTTGATAAATCTACAAATGTCGACGAGCGTAAGTATCGATGTCGATGCGTGTAAACACGATAGAGTCTCGCGCCTATCGAGTTTAAAAAGTCAAAGTGTAGCACTACGCTACCGTAACCTTAGCCATTTTTATATCAATTAACGTATCAAGCGATCTGAAGCAGAACTAGATAAGAATAAACTGCAGTCCAGTTCAATGAAAAGTCGGCCGCTTGATTGTCGAAAGTAGATTCGTCTTCATCTATTTGCCGAACCACCTGTGAAATATACTGTTCATCCTCTGGGGATATGTCATCATGCACAAAATCTGGATCGTTCACATCATCGTCGCTACTGAAATCAGTTTCCACATTTGATTCGACGATTCTATAAATGCCATTGTTCATCTTCGGTCATTTCGCTGATCTTTACTTTATTTCGGCTTTGAAAATCCATTTTCTGTCACAATAGAACTGTAAACAATGACACAATTAGGCAGCTGAACACAATAGAAAGAGGACACTAATCTCCATCTAAACTGTCATAAGTGTTCTGAGACACGCTTTACAATTTAGGCAGCAATTTCGCCTTAATAAACAAGCTGCAAATTATTTGATAAGGATATTAAAACCATATTTGGAGGAGGGTTATTTATGCCTCTGGGAGACCACAATGTTTAGGGTAAGTGTTACTAAGCTGCAGTAAAATTTAAAAATATATTAGAATATAACAACTAAATCCAAAGCCACCACAATTTCTTTTTGGTCCACAGACAATTTAGTGCCACCATCACCGACAGCCTCTCTCGGGCTAAGTCCCCTTGGGCTCGATTAAAAATCTTGGAGATTAGAATAGAATAGAATATAAAAGAATAGAATAGAATAGAATAGAATAGAATAGAATAGAATAGAATAGAATAGAATAGAATAGAATAGAATAGAATAGAATAGAATAGAATAGAATAGAATAGAATAGAATAGAATAGAATAGAATAGAATAGAATAGAATAGAATAGAATAGAATAGAATAGAATAGAATAGAATAGAATAGAATAGAATAGAATAGAATAGAATAGAATAGATAGAATAGAATAGAATAGAATAGAATAGAATAGAAATAGAATAGAATAGAATAGAATAGAATAGAATAGAATAGAATAGAATAGAATAGAATAGAATAGAATAGAATAGAATAGAATAGAATAGAATAGAATAGAATAGAATAGAATAGAATAGAATAGAATAGAATAGATAGAAGAGAATAGAATAGAATAGAATAGAATAGAATAGAATAGAATAGAATAGAATAGAATAGAATAGAATAGAATAGAATAGAATAGAATAGAATAGAATAGAATAGAATAGAATAGAATAGAATAGAATAGAATAGAATAGAATAGAATAGAATAGAATAGAATAGAATAGAATAGAATAGAATAGAATAGAATAGAATAGAATAGAATAGAAATAGAATAGAATAGAATAGAATAGAATAGAATAGAATAGAATAGAATAGAATAGAATGGAATAGAATAGACTAGAATAGAATAGAATAGAATAGAATAGAATAGAATAGAATAGAATAGAATAGAATATAAAGAATAGAATAGAATAGAATAGAATGGAATAGAATAGAATAGAATAGAATGGAATAGATAGAATAGAATAGAATAGAATAGAATAGAATAGAATAGAATAGAATAGAATAGAATAGAATAGAATAGAATAGAATAGAATAGAATAGAATAGAATAGAATAGAATAGAATAGAATAGAATAGAATAGAATAGAATAGAATAGAATAGAATAGAATAGAATAGAATAGAATAGGATGGAATAGAATTGAATAGAATAGAATAGAAAAGAATAGAATAGAATAGAATATTCTTTACATCGCTTTGTCTTATCTCAAAAATTGCCTTGTCAAACTCGTCTCTCAATAGGGATAAGATTTGTATTTTCATCTAGTTGTACTATCATAGTTGCGTTTTTGTATGTATTATGTAATTCATAATTAGTAATGAAAAATGTTTACATTCAATTATAAAATTACTTACCAAAGCTCTTTCTTCCATCAGTTTATCCCTGTAGTCTCGTTTAAAGAAGTTGCACTATAAATTAGACAACGAAAAATTTATTAAAGATTGGCAGAAAAGAAACAAAGAAATATCAACTAAAATATAATAAATAAAAAGTAGTTAAATGAAAGTAAGTTAAATAAAATTTGTTTTTTGTTTTTTTTTACCGCATCAACCCTAGGGTTATTAGCGGGGTGGTATATCTTTATTTTAGAAAAGTTACATTAATATGTTATTAAAATTTACATAGCAGTTTTGGAAAATAAACATTTTATGTTATGTTACAGTTTGTTATAGAGTTTACAATTTTTGATAAAATTTATTGTATTATTGATGTCTTCTTTTAGAGTTTCTTTAAAGTGTGGTTTATTTTTGCTGTCGATCTTGCTGTTGAGTACACTGGACAGTCTATCATAATATGTTGCACTGAAAATGGTATTTGACAGGTGTGGCAAATCGGCTGAGGGTCCTTGGAGATGATGTATCCATGTGTAAATTTTGTATGGCCTAGCCGCAGTCTGTTAATAATTACTTGGTTATGTCTTTGAGCTGGGAGCGGTAGTAAAGCAGAAGTAACATCTGGTTTGATAATTTTTAATTTTGCTTCTGTTTGGTTCCATTTTACTTGCCAGGTTTTGTTAATATAAGTTTTTATTAATGTTTTTTGGTCTGAGATCGGTAAGTTTTGCATCATAGGAATTGTCATGTTATTGATAGTTTCTCTTGCTTCTTTATCAGCTGCTTCATTACCCTTTATTCCAACATGGGATGGTACCCATAAAAATTTTATGTTTTTACCACATGTTTGGGCAATGTATAGCATGTCTTTTATGAGTGCTATATTGGCATGAGTAAGATACATCTGCTTGACACCATTTAAGGCACTCAAAGAATCTGATATGATAAGAAAGTTTATATCATTGCTGGTACATTGGTTGAGTGAGTTGAAGATTGCTTGCAGTTCTCCAGTGTATATGCTACACTCCTTGGCTAGACGGGTGACAGAGATGTTGTCTTTAAAAATAGCTGCAGCAGCTACACCATTACTGCTTTTAGAGGCATCAGTAAAAATTAGTTCCAAATCAGGGTATCTGGAGATGGTAGACTGGAATTGTTGTTTTATTTCAGAAGGGTTGTGTGTTAAAATTAGTTTGTCGTTAGAAGATTTACTATTTTGTATATCACAAATAAAAAAAATCAGACAAATTATGAAGATAAAACATAAAATGGCAGACGAAATATGAACCAAATAATTAATATGGTACAGATAAACACAGCGAATGCCTAATCACAGATTCCCAAAGAAAGTATTAGAATGGAATTCAAGAGAAAATAGAAATGAGGAAAACCACGCAAAAGTTTGAGAGAAGACGTTGAAAAAGAGATAAGAGAAAGTACCCTGGAACATGACATGTGGAAAACTGGGAACGATTGGAAAGACGTTTACGATTTAAAGTTATTTTTGATTATACTGTGTCAGTCAGAAGAACTGACTGAACCAAAGTTGTGTGTTTTCCTGTATTTTAAAGCATATTAAGTGTTTATATAAAGTCTTAAAGGTTTAACTTTATTAAATTTTGAAATATTTATACTTTTCCTAAGAACACCGGTAATATTTTAATAAAAACATCCTAGAAAAAAGCATTTGTTAAAGTTTTAAATCGCGTCGTTCCTTCAAGCAATGTGCAACATTACATTATTTAAACCATTAATTAAAAACGGTTTTAGGAATGGGAATGAACAGATGAGCTATGGTACCTACATTTAATAAAAGAATCTGAAAAGAGGAAAGCTGAAAAAACTCAAAAATAACATAATTAACGCAGCAAACAGAGTCACTTGGTGAGAGGAAAGTACCGAACACTAACATATCAAAAAAGGAAACACCATGATTTAAAAAGGAAGTGAAGAAGAAAGCCTTTTTACAATATAGAAGACAACAAACACAACAGGCATACAACCACTACCAACAAATCAGAAATGAAACGAATACTTTAGTTAAACAAATAAAAAAGAAACGCTGGCAGAGTTTTTCAAAACAGATGGAACACGACTGTTACGAAACACAAGGGGAAATATGAAGAATGATCAGAGGACAATGAAAAGAGATTAACGAACCAATAAAAACGAAACACATTCAGAAGGAAACATGGGTAGACTAATTTCGATCCCTTTTTAATAAACTCCTAAAGTACGGGGGACCACCAGATCTGACCAAATAACTATTAAAACTTATCCAAAAAATAATAGAATAAAACAGAATTTCTCAAGAATTTAACAGAAGACAATACATAAAAATAAATACGTAAATGCATCTTTTGGGTATCAACTAAAAACTCTTATTACTTTATTTAGCTACTTACTTTAAACAGCACCAAAATTAACACTGCAAGTAGTAGACAACCCACAATTGTTGCTACCACATAAACCCAATTCGCGATGGCTTCCTTGGTATTGGAAAGCAGCAATGTAGTGGAAGCATGACCAGTAACCTAAAAAATATATATTTTATATAAGTCGGATATATAATAATTTACATGATGAAAAAAATAAAAAGGTAAATAGCAAGAATTAATAGATAATTTGAACTAAGAAGCCTTTAAAATTGAAGCTAAAATTATTGTGTTAACAACTAATTAATGTTGCGCTTAAGTATTTCTCGTAGGTAATTTTGGTACCCATGGAATTATCAGCATCTGTCTGTACGTATACATTCCAAAGACAATTTTTTCTGTTTCAGAGTCCATCGTCCAACTTTCATAGTCACCTTACTCAGTCTGATCTTACCCAGTCGTTCCTATTTATATCTGATAGTCGTTTAACTAACATTCCTCTTTTCATTTCTATTGTGGTGGCTAGTTTATTAACATTGTAGCATTTTTAAATTCTTTCGTATGCATTGAAATCACCCCGTATATATTGTCAAAAAAACACCGAAAAAGTATTTTCAATTCTTTTGGCGTAGCCGATAATAAATACATTTTAGAGTTTTGTTTCTATATCACAGACGCGATTTCTTTGGTATTTTTGTTGATTGTAAAATAAACATCCACTTAGATCGCCGAGAAGGTTTTGCGGCGAAGAGAATTACATCATTCTCGGTGAGGCCTCTGTCAGGGGCAGTTGGTTTCAGTTCTAGTCGAAATTTGTCTTCAAATTTATAATGTTTAATGTTTTTTCCTATTCTATCATTGGAAAATGTGGACTGTAGGGGCAGTCTTAAGTTTTATGTGAAGTTAAAATAAGGTTTGTTTAAAGAGAGGTTATGAAGGGCAGACGGCAGCGTTTGTAGTTTGAGTTAACCGGTAAATTTGTTAGAAAAAGTGATTTATATTCAATTTAATATGTCATTTCTGAAAGTGTAATCACTGTTTTTATTTCTATGCCGTATCTCATCTGAGATATTTGTAAAAGCGTTTTTACAAAGAAGATATTTTGAGCGTTTACAACAACTTTAAAGAATAACCACAGTGTTTCAGTTTTTTAAGTAGCCGAGTCTAAAATTTAGTGAACAGCTTCTGTCCTCAGTTTGTCCCTGGTCGTCATTCCAAACTATAGATGCAGTTTTTCGCGTGGCAGTGAATCTTCAGTTCCACCCCCAGAATTAACAAAAAAACATTTAGTGAAAGCCAGGTAACTTTTTGTGTTTGAACTTTTATAGACATTTTTTCATTAATAATTGCTTTCATATAGGTTAAGAAACTGTAATAATTAAAATTGTAGATGTTAGGGTGGGGCTAGGCTGTCATAATAATTATTCCCAAAGTTTAGATTAGAATTTAATGTGGATATCTGACAGCTAGCTTAATTTTTTTGAAATTTGGTAATACATTATTTTGGAAATACTCAATCATAATATAGATTTTGTTTTGTAAACAAGGTTAACCTCTATGCATAGTTTTATCTAAAAAGCTATTTTTCATTCCTAATTTTTCCGTTACAAATTGTCGCCCATTAACAATTGTAAGTTTGTGGTATCTCCAACTTCAAGAGTTTGTAAACTGATAGAACATAGTTTGTTGTTGGTATTTTGTATTTTATTCTTATTATTTATATTTGTAACTGTTTGTTATGAGACAGCAATAAATATTTAATTTTGCCCTAAACCAATTTGTTATTTCTTTAAAAAAAGTTTCTAACCTCTTTTGTGTTTTTAGGAAGGAAGAGCCTTTTCTTTCATCCAGCAGAAAAATTCTTCAAAGCGGCGTTCTTATTTTAAATAGCTTTAAATAGCTATTTTTGTGTTGTGTTTATCCAGAAGATTTATATAAGTATCCTTTTTGCTTTACTTTTTGTAGTTGCGTCAATACATTCCCCTTGTTATTTACTTATCCGCGACCTAGTTCTCCAAATAAACTCTGAGTGGCCGTTTGCCAAAGTTTCGGCTTATTATGCTTGCCCTATCTTTACCCCAGTAAACAGGTGTTACTGAGTCGTAAAATGCAAACACCCCAATATTAGGAGGAATCTATTTCGTGCCATATATTTTCTAAAAACTGGTATGTCAAATAAACAGTCAGTTTTCCAGTAGTCGTTTGTCTAAATGACTCGTTTGACTCAAATGAATTGTTCCCGTGTGGAGCAACAGACCCAAAAATATTTTTAATTCGTCCACAATACACTGTTTGCAAGCTGTATTTCGAGATTTGGCAGATGTTTCTGGGCGTAAAAATACCTCAACTGCATAAGAATTTGTATTATCTACCACAGCTTGGAGGAATGTGTCGTCAAAGATCATTTAAAAAAATCGAGTGGTGTACCATCTCTGGAACTGTCACTTGTAGATATTGAGTTTCCTTAAACACAAGTTGATTTAGCTTGCCCGTTTTACTCATTGTTTAATATTAGAACTTGTTACTTCTTGATTAGTAAAATTATTAGAAATATTGCTATTTTCCTCGTCAGTCTCGTAGATTGAACAAGACGCACCGTCATCTATATTCGGATTAAATTCATCACTACTGTTCTCATTTTTAGAATACGAATATACTTAGAGTCACTCAACACGCGATGGAAAGAGTAATGCATAGGTATATCACTTAAGGACAAGAAAACAAACATATGGATAAGACAGAAATCCAAAGTCACCGATGTGGTGCAAAAATTATTAAAGTTGAAATGGGAATACGCTGGACATGTAGCTAGGAGCGATCTAAACAAAATGGCACAGATCAATTTTAACCTGGAGACCATACCAACACAAAAGACCCAGAGACAGACCTCCTATGAGATGGACAGATGATCTGAAAAGGACTGCCGGGAAAAATTGGCTACAAGTAACGTACAATAAAAAACAATGGAAAGGAAGACTTAAAGAGGCTTATGTTCAGATGTGGACGTGAATGGCTAGACGAAGAAGAAGAAGAAGTCCTTATTTTGCAAATACCATAATAATTCTTCTAACACCAGAAGATCCAGGTTTACTGTTCATATTTAACCACAAATTATCACCGAACCACAAACGAAACTTCGAAACCCACAACTGCACGTGTAAGAAAAAAGTCTTATCTCGGACGCCTGGGACTGGAATGCAGCTATAAACCAATACCAGTGAAATAATAAAGTATACTGTCAAGAGATACCATTCACTCCGATCGGAGTAGCCGGCGTAATCGAATCTGGCCGATGCACTCCGATCGGAGTGATCGGCACTCAACCTGTTAAACTTCGTTTTTTCTGTAAGTTTTTTCAATTTTTATAAATTTCTTTTCGTAAGAACTTTCTACGAATTATTATCATCATTCAATCTTCGCTTATCCACTGCTGGACATAGATCTCCCTCATAATTTTCCATCTATTTGATCTTGTGCCTCTTGCATTCAATTCCTATGACAACGTTTTAGATCGTCAGTCGAACGTGTTGGTGGACGGACCTCTGCTTCGGTAGGCATCATCTCTTGGTCTCCATTCCAGTATCCGCTTTGACCATCTATTATCTGTCATTCGAGCCACGTGACCTGCCCAGTTTCACTTTAGTGTTGCTAGTCTCTCTACTGCATCAGTCCACTCATGTTCTTTGTCGTAGCTGGCGATTTGGGATCTTGTTTCGTAGTGAAACACCCAACATAGCTCCATCGCTCTTTGACACACACGGATCTTTTGAACTGTTCTCCTTGTCATTGTCAACGTTTCCGCACCGTAAGTCAACACTGGCAATACACACTGATTAAAGGTTTTTTCTTTTAAGGCATATTGGTATATCAGACGATTTGAAAATATGGTTCAGCTTGCGGAAGGCTGCCAAGTCAGTTTTATATGACGGAGAAGCTCAACGGTTTGGTTATCTTTTCTATGCGGATCTCATGACCTAGGTATTTATAGGCCATTACCTGGTCTATGGATCTTGTTCCTACGCATATATCTTCGCTGACTACAAGATTTGTCATCATCTGGGTTTTAGATATATTTATTTTCAATCCCTCTTCTAGCGAGGAAAGGTAGAGACTGATTTCAAAGTTCTTTGGCCTCATCTATCCTATCAGCTATTAGTACAATATCATCTGCAAACCTTAGATGGCTAACCTTTTTTCCGTTTATGTTTATGTCCTTGTCGGTCAGTTTTGCCCTTTTACATATATATTCCAAAAGCGTAGTGAACAGTTTCGGCAATATCGTGTCCCCCTGGCGTACTCCACGTTGTATCGGGAATTTCTCGGTTTGACGATCACCCACTCTAACACTGGCTGTTGCGTTTTGGTACATGTGTATAATTGTAAAGGGCCCGCGTAGCGCAAGCGGTAGTGTGCTTGCCTCGCATGCCGGTGGTCGTGAGTTCGAATCCTACCGCCGGCAAGAACAACTAGGCATTTTTAAAATGTCTATAGGCCCCAGGTCGACTCAGCCTGAATAAAATGAGTACCTTGGGTAAAACCAGGGTAATAATAGGCGGTTTGAAGCGTAGCACTGGCCATGTTACCTTCTTGTATACCGTAGGCCCTAGATATAGCAGACTACCCTGCTATACTCCCAAAGCCGCGTGCGGTATAAAACGGGAGACTATTATTATTAGTATAATTATATTTATATACCGATAGTCAATTCGGCATTCTATCAAGGCTTTCAACATTTTTTATTGATTTACGATGTCGAATGCCTTTTCATAGTCGACAAAACATGAACAAAAAAATTAATGAAACTGTTAAATTCCTTAGTATTTTACACAAAAAGAAAACTAAAATTAAACTTACGTGGTGTTAAACGCATGTATGGCTGAAGTAACGAAGGCTGCAATGTCTCTTCCACGAGTTTGTGTCTTAAAAAACTGACCTACAAATTAAAAAATCATACAAGTCTTTATTTTGTCATTTTAAAGAAAAAACATCATTTTATTGTTTCTGTTATTCACCTAGAAGTCCAACATTAGTTTTAAGTTTTACATTGAAAACAGTTGTCTCAGAGCTGTCCCTCAATATTGGTCCTTGGCAAGCTAATATTTCGCATTTCCATTCGTGAAAACAATCCACGATCAGTGTTTTATTTGCAGGTGTCTTGATAAAGGATGACACGTTATATTTTACTTGGATGATAATGGATTATTTATTGGTAAACAGTGCATTTTGTTGCTTTCCCTGTTTTTCTAAAAAAAAATACAGTAATATAAAAACTATATAATAAAGTTTCTCAAGTTTTGCATTATAAGTTATAAAGGACTTTTTTCTCTTTAATTATAAAAACAGCCATTTATTGGGTATATATGGTTCACTGATTGGTCAAGGATAGTTAACAAAGGGTTACCTCAGGGCTCAGTGCTTAGTCCCTTATTATTTAACTTGTATTCATTAAACTTACGTACTATGGGAATGCAGTGTAACATTTTATAATATGCTGATGATTTCTGTTTCTATGTTGAGAAACAAACTTTTCAACAATGTGTTAGTGTCCTTCAAGTAAATATGTCTTTTTTCAAAGAGTATTTTGATAGTCATGGGCTTGACATCTCATCTAAGAAGTCAGGTGTAGTATTTTTTTCGAGACATAGGTTACCAAAAGTTAGTACGTTAAAATTCTCCCAGCCGAAAATTCCTGTATATAACAGTTTTACATACTTAGGTGTTACCTTGGATTCAAAATTAACCTGGAACGAGCATATTAATAATTGCATTACTAAATGTGAAAAAAGCCTTAATATCCTTAAGGACCGTTCATCGATGCGATTGGGGAGCAGACCCGAAAATAAACTTATTATTTTACAGAGCATATACCAGATTAATTTTGGACTATGAAAGCTTTTTCTATGGATCAGCGACAAAATCTCGTTTAAATAAATTGGATCGAATACTAAAGCTTTAAGGTTAGTCCTAGGAGCTCTCAAATCTACTCCCATACCAGCCTTTTGACAGAATGTAACGAGCCACCTTTACATGTAATACGTTTATTTTTGGCAGAAAAATTTATTCCTAAATGCCAGTTTAATAATCAAAACAGCTTATTACAAAAAATATCTTGTCTCTCTGTTGAAAATCTAACAAACAAATGGTGGGCAAATAAAAACTCTCCAACTCTAGCTGTCGCTTTTCCCAATTTATCACAATAGTCATTCAATGGAGGAGCGATTACATTCTTTGGCTCCAATTATGAGTTACTATATGAATATAAACCTACTGTAGTAATTCCAATATATTTAACTGTTCACGAAGATTTAGTAGTACGGAACAAGCTGGAAGACTCTAACCATTCTTGTAAAATTTATACCGATGGTTCAAAATCGCCTGCTGGTATTGGCTGTGCCATTTACGTAGAAAATTTTCAAATTATTTTCAGTACAAATTAAAATCAGATTGCTCAATATTCACAGCTGAATTGGTAGCCATTTTCAAGGCGTTGGATTGGATAATTAATAGCACATTATATTTTGAACGATATATAATTTTATCTGACTCACAGTCCGTCCTGCTTGCATTAACACACTTCTCTAAACACATATATACCAACAGACTAATTGTGGATGCGCTTGAAAAGCTAAGGATCTTAAGTTCTCTAAAAATAACTGGTAACTTTGTGTGAGTTCACAAAGGTCACTCTAATATGTTATACTTAATTGGGAAATTGAGTGGCAATCAAGTAATGGCAGTTATGATGACCTTAACCATTGGATGTTTCAATGTAGGTATAATCAAGAAGCCATACAATTTTTATTTCAAGCCATCTCCCAACAAAAAATCATTCTGCCGCAGAATGTTGCTTCCATTCTCTATTTAGGTAGTCCAAATTCAACTATTAGATCAATTTTATGGGAATTTTTCAAACGTACCAAACGGAAAATCTAAACTGCCCTTTTCAGTGTTGTGTGAAACCGAAATGGTAGGAAGTTAGTTGTTGTATTTCCCATTGTCTTTCCTTTTATGTCATTTACCTTTTAACCGTTGCCTGTATTGTTTGTGTTAAAAAAAGTCGCTATGAAGAGCACCTTAGCGTGAAGCGTGTGTTCCTGTTCAATCCTTTTTGTATAGTTACCCAATAGTGTTTTCAATGAGAAGGTTAGGAAATTGAGTGAATGTGCGAATGAACGAACGGTTAGAAAATTGTCGTGAATTTAAAGGAAGTGTAGGAGATTGTTTTTACGTATTCAACCTATATTGTCTGGCTAAATAGGTCTCAAGCCTAAGGCAAAAAAAATGATTTACGGATTTTAAATAAAACTAGAGGTTCTTATTTATATAAACTAATTATTTACAACACTATACTATCTCCTAAACTAAACTACAATAATAACTGCGCCTCTTATATACAAATACATTTATCCTAGAATCATCCCGATCAGTTCATCTTTATTCGTTGCTAATGGTATGTTCTTTAAGGCCTAGGTCACTATTGCTAATGCCCGCGACCTTATATACTAGAGTGCCACCAAACCATGTGTAAATTTTTTATTTAACAAAATCTGAAAACAATTGAAAATTTCTCCATTTTTTGCTCTTAGTTTCGTTTATAATTCGGAAAATATTGATCTTAGAGAAAAAAATATAAGAAGTTAAAAGTTTCGTTACTCAATTTTACAACAATATTTCGTTAGCTAGAAATTGCAAATTTAATGTTTATTGTTGAAAAATAGCAATAATTGTAAAAAAGTTCAAAAAATGAAGTTAATCCTTTAAATGTTTTCGTCTTTCTAAACTTCACTTACAAGCTCCATATTCCGTCTAGAAAAACTTTTTAATACGTTTAAAACATGTGCTAAATTTTGTTAAGATCGGTCATCGATCGATTTTGTTAAGATCGAGTGCCACAGTTATCATTTCGATTGTCGCGAAGATTCTCGTGTATATGAGTCATCGTTCTGATAATTGTGGCACATTATATGGAATACGTCGAAGGTACGCTATTAAGTTATACTGCTCTTGATCAGCAACCCTACATGAACGCCCAGGATAAAGGTATCTAAAGGACTCTCCAGTTCAGCATAAACCCCTCAAGAAGAAATAACAGTCTAGCATATATAAACGATCTGATCTCTTCGGATTAATGCAACACACAGTAATTCGTCAAGAGGCGAATAGAGATAGCGAGAAAATCGTTTGTCAAAATGAAAAAGTTCCTATGCAGCCGGGACATAAATATAAACTTAAGAACTAGAATGCTAAGGTGCTATGTTTTCTCCGTTCTGCTGTACGGCATGGAAGCCTAAACACTGAAAAAGATAAACATCAAAAACATTGAGGCATTCGAGATGTGGTGTTACAGGAGAATGTGGAAAATATCATGGATAGAAAGAGTAACAAATTAAGATGTTCTGCTGAAGATGGGAAGGAATGCGAAGTTATAAAAACCGTACAAACGAAAAAACTGGAATATCTGGGCCACATAATGAGAGGAGAAAAGTACTCTCTCCTTAGACTCATAATCCAAGGAAAAGTCTCGGGAAAGAGAAATGTGGGACGTAGGAGGATTTCCTGGTTGCGAAATTTAAGGGAGTGGTATGGGTGCAGTTCAATACAGTTGTTCAGAGCTGCAGCCAACAAAGTAAAGATTGCTGTGATGGTAGCCAACCTCCGATAGGAGACGGTACTGCAAAAAGAAGACAGTAATTCGTAAGCCGGTTTCTCGGAAGATCACTTCAATCATGCCTTTCACAATCTTCCAATCCATATTTTCCAGTGCATGGCCCACATTTGGTAAAGCCAAATTCTTGATGCTATAATACGATTTTCTCCAAATTAGTTACAGTACACCATATATTCTCATAGCGTGCCTTGTTTTGTAGACAATTAGACTACTGATTTTTTAACTTATCAAGCGACTGAACTTCTTAATAAATATGGACCAAACTCTTCTCGTCATCTTGATATCTTAGGTCACACTGTGTGCTATAAAGACGTTTTCCGAAACATTAAATTGGTCCTGTTGAACTTCTGTCGGCATGCCGAATCTAGCACTCTTTCTTTCTGCGTAATTTGATGCAATATCATTAAAATGTGGTCGCCGGCAATTTGTGATCTTATGGAGAAGTTTCGTAGTTCTTTCGTTTCATTTGAGGCCAGCATACGGTGGTACTATAAATTAATATCATAGAACAAAAACTCGAAGCGAAAGGAGTGTTATACCTAAATTTCTTAGACGTAAATTCAGCTTTCGATAGACAACAGAGGAGAACGGTAGATATATGCCTAATAAATTTATAAATACAAAGGATACAACAAAAAAAGATCTAAATCAATATAAGGTTGAATGTTCGAATAATTGAACTTTGATGGTATACAAGGCAAATATCGAACACAGTAATTAATTAAATCTTGCTCAAGTACTTTCGATCAATAGATCATCCTCAGGGGCATTTCGTCAGTTGTGGACTATCCGACATGAGCAGAATGTCATACATGTAAATTTGGACATAACAATACAATACACAAAGACAAACACTTTAAAATTTTTAAAAATGGAGAAGCTACATGTTATATAGAAACCGAAGACAGAATCTGTCTCCAGCTTCTATATAACATGTATAACATGTAATCTTTTAATTGTGCGATATTTTCAAATGCAAAATTAGTAAAATTAAAAAGACAGTTGCTAATTGTTGAACCTACGATGTCTTATTAATAACTTATTTAAAAAAGTGTTTTATCATTTCTCGAAATCAAATGGTGTGGTATTCATGTAGGCACATGTTTAATTGCCCCCTCAAAATTAGCTGTATCAATCACTGTGTACCACAATATGCCAATATCTATAGCACGAGTGTCAATCACTTTAATTTTGGTTATATTTTGGTTTTAATTTTTTTTATTAATACCTGTAATTAAAGTGCCTGTAACTGTAGTGCTATCCTAGCTAATAGGCTAGGCGGGATCTGTAGAAATTCAGACCATATTAAACATTTTCCATAGGAAGCTATTTTTGAGCTGGAATTCCTTCAGGATGTGCCCAATATCGATAATCACGATATGCGCCAGTCGCAAACCATGTGCTAAATTTTTTATTAATAACAAAATCTGAAAACAATTGAAAATTTCTCATTTTTTTGCTCTTAGTTTCGTTTATAATTCGGAAAATATTGATCTTAGAGAAAAAATTATAAAGTTAAAGTTTCGTTACTCAATTTTACACAATATTTCGTTAGCTAGAAATTGCAAATTTAATGTTTATTGTTGAAAAATAGCAATAATTGTAAAAAAGTTCAAAAAAATGAAGTTAATCCTTTAAATGTTTTCGTCTTTCTAAACTTCACTTACAAGCTCCATATTCCGTCTAGAAAAACTTTTTAATACGTTTAAAACATGTGCTAAATTTTGTTAAGATCGGTCGCATAGGTTTTGCATAATAATTTTGCAATCCAGTCTACTGGAAAAAAATCGCAAATTTTCAAATTTATAGTAGGCCCTAAATAAGGCCCTCAGATAGTTGCAATTTTTTACATATAAAAGAAGGCTCAAACTTTTAAACGCTTTTTGTAAAATTCAAATCGGTTCACTAGGAGAGCCTAGAAAAATTTTTAAAGTTTTAAACATTTTTTAGGCGTATAAACAAATTGAATAACTTAACGAGCTTTAAACATATCGATGTCAAAATTTATACACTTAAAGAACATTAAAAGACGCTTCTTTAAAAAAAAGATACATTCGGCTGACTGGTTGCCGAAATATTGAAGGTCAAAGTTGGCATACATTTGTCGTGTAACCATAAGTGATGGAGGGCTCGTTTTTAAACAAATACCCTCATCTTGTCAAGTACTTTTTATATGAAAAGTTTTACGTAATGCGCTTCATGGCAACATCCATAATAAAAAACAAATAAAAAACCATTTTTGCGTAAAATGTCGCTCGAAATGCATGAGAGGTGGTGGTGGGGACATTCACTCGAAATGTGAATCGGCGAGTTCAAAATACAAAAATTGCATTATCTCGGCTTCTTGTTAACCAATTTTGCTCTTTTTTTAATCGATGTCTCGAACGACAAGGATTTCAAATATCATATTTTTAAATACCATTTTTAATTGCAAATTGGGAAATTTTCAATAAACAATTGTATGTTAAACAAGTAATTGCATTTTTTCTTCATGCATTTTTTTTTTGAGCGTGCAATTTATACGTTGAAGTACAATGTTACTTTTAGTCAACAAATATATATTTATAAATCGTTTGAATTGTTAAAACAAAGGCGAACGATTTTTTTTTGTAAAAAATCAAACTTTTTAAAATAATTAACATTAAAAATAATTTATTTCTGCAGTTTTATCATAGTAATGACATTATTTGATTTGAGAATATATTTTGATTCGAAAATGACGTGTATAATGTACGTGTTAATATACTGCCGTGTAATGCACGAAACTGGTATTTTTTGAGCTTGCAATCTATACATTGAAGTAAATTGTTACTTTTAGTAAACAAATATGTATTTATTAATTGTTAATAAATAATTTAAATTGTTAAAACAAAGGCAAAGAAATTTTTTTTTTGTAAATAAACTTTATTTAGACTCAATCTTCAATTATTTTTGTAAGTCTTTTTCTTTTTTTGGAAGGAATGTTCAGGTCTTATCAATTTCCAATTGATCAAAACTTTCAATTTCCATTTCAATATCTTCATCCTCGATCTGTAAATATAATATTTCTTCTCCTTTATCTGTACCTTTATCTTGTGCCTCTAGAAAATCTAAGGAATCCATCGACTCCATATCCATTTCTCGTTCAACTTCTTCCAATATTTTACTGTGTTCAATATTTTTACATGTCTGACCATTGCAGTGAAGACAATAGTCAGAACATTTGAGACCATGTTTGATACATGGTCTCAATGTTTGATGGACAAATGGACATAGTTTGATACTGCATGTTTTTGTAAAAAGTTTTTACATTTGCAACTAATATTTCTCAATAATGAGTTAGGTAGTAATACCTGCTCACTTTGTATTGGCTCAAGACCATTTTGAATTAGTTCCCACTCCCACTTAGTAGCATTCAGGTTATTTCCAAGCCACTGCTGTACTTGGAAATATACACGAAGCGAGTGTTGCTCAGCTGCAGATTGTGTTGGTGGCAGCATGAAAAACTGAAATTTTTTATTTTTGCAACCTTTTTTAATGCACAAGTGGCGAATTTTATTAAACGTAAAATCACACTTTGAGTGGCCCATATACAACGCCGATATAATTTTGCATCCGCTGCGTTTAATTTCTTCCTTAGTGGCACTTTTTTCATTAAAAATGGTTGCTTCTTGCGACATATCATTATTTGTTAAAAACAATTTAACAATTTTGCTTTTTTCCTTGATAAAAAATGCAGAGGTTGTACCACAACAGGAAAATCCGTGTAAAATTCCCAGTAGTAATTTTTTTAACGAAGATATCGTAGATTCACTTATTTTAAGTGCAATATTGAAACAGTTGTAGTCATAAATTTGTTCAGATTTTCTTTCTTTGCTAGGTTTCCAGAAAAAAATATTTTTATTTCCAGTTACTTTTTGTAAAAATATTACCAGAACATCAAGAACTTTACGAGACGAGGGTATTTGTTTAAAAACGAGCCCTCTATCACTTATGAGTATATAGCCTAAAAAATGTTTAAAATTTTAAAACAATTTCTAGGCTCTCCTAGTGAACCGATTTGAATTTAACAAAAAGCGTTTGAAATTATGAGGCTTCCTTTATATGTAAAAAATTGCAACTATCTGAGGGCCTTCTTAAGGGCCTACTATAAATTTGAAAATTTGCGATTTTTTTTCCAGTAGGCTGGATTGCAAAATTATTATGCAAAACCTATCCGACTGATCTTAACAAAACTTAGCACACGTTTTAAACATATTAAAAAGTTTTTCTAGGTGGAATATGAGACTTGTAAGTCAAGTTTAGAAAGTCGAAAACATTTAAAGGATCAACTTCACTTTTTTTTACTTTTTTTTTCAATTATTGCTATTTTTTCAATAATAAACATTAAATTTTTAATTTCTAGCTAACAACATATTGTGTAAAATTGAATAACGCAACTTTTAACTTCTCATAATTTTTTCTCTAGGATTAATATTTTTTGAATTATAAACGAAAATAGGAGCAAAAATGAGAAATTGTCAATTGTTTTCAAATGTTGTTAAATAAAAAATTTAGCACAGGGTTTGCGACTGGCGCATATCGTGATTATCGATATTGGGCACAACCTGAAGGGATTCCAGCAAAAAAGTAGCTTCCTACGGAAAATGTCCAATCCAAAACAGATCCCGCGTGGACTATAATGATATATATTCTAAATAATGACTTACCGTTGATTCCACAACTTCAAATAATTTCTTGTCTTCAATTGTTATTGTTGGAATTAATATGTATATATCAGATTTTACTGGTGATAGTCCCACATTTAACACAGTATAACTATGAACAGTCTCCAATTCTTTTTTTAGTTCTGTATCATCAGAAAAAATTTCAATGGTGTCTTGCAATGCAGTTCTTAAATAAAACATGAATTTTGCAAATTAAAATCGCTTTGAAAATTTAAAATTAATGTGTTCTTTATATCAAAAACAAAGAAACATAAAAGTGTCTTACCCATCAATAAAAGGAGAGCTCATAATGTCAATCATTATAGCAGCGGTATCTACCGAAGTATTATATCCATGAAGACACGATAATGCAAATTCGATTATAATTGTCCTCTTAGCTATATCTGAAGTGGGAAGCATATAGAAATTAACGTTGATCTAAAAAAATAAAACCCTATAATTTTTGTCGTTTTACAAAAATAATAATAATTACTATTTAAATGGGAATAAGCCACAATTAAAGTTTAAAGTACGTTTATTATTGTTAGAATATCCAACATAAAAAGTGTATGTTGTCCTATAGTTGTTCTATATGAAGTGACATTGTTGACAGTTCAATAAGTAATGTCAAAAATAGGTCATAAATTACTGTCAGTCAAGTTTTGTATTGTTCTGTATGTAAGAAGGAATAAAGTATGGCCAGACGTTTATTGGTGCATATTTCCTAAAGTACATATTTCCTTGTCTCTTGATGTCTTCAAACTGGAAAGAGGACTTCACCTAACTTAAATTATAACAGGTTATGGGCCCAGTCTACGTGTGAACTGTGAACAGGTTAGGTTCGTACTTCATTCAGTTTTGTTGTTTGTTATTATCGGTGAATGAAATATGGCGACCAGCAATAACGATTATAAAATTTAAGTTGACAAACTCGAAGGTCCTGAAGACTGGGCAAAGTGGAAATGGCACGTTTCGATGTTATTACGTTCATATGCACTTGAAGACATTGTAAACGGTATGTGTAAGTGTTCTGAGGTTAGTGAAGATTCAACTTCAGTGTAAATACAGAAGCATCAGCAATGGTTAAAAGACGATGCGAAAGCGGTATGGTAGGAAAAAGTGTTGCCGTGTTGACGTGTACTCACGCTAGTGAAATATGGGACAAATTGCGTGTGAGATTTGAACGTAGCAGTACGCAACGGTTAAACATGTTAATTGAAGCCTCTTTTAGAATCCAACGTGATGAAAAAGAAGATATTAGTACACATGTTGCGAAGTTGCAAAAACTGTTTGTAGATTTGAATGATGAACTGCAGAAGCATGATGAAAATGTTTTATCCGAAAGAATGTTAAATGGTCGGATCTTATCAACTTTGTGTAAGGACTTTGATAATTTCAAAAACTTTGTGTGACACGATACATCAAAGAATCAAACTTTGAATTTACTGATTGAGGAATTGTGTACCATTGAATTACGTGACCAAAGTACTGTAGAATCTTTTGCGTTTGTTACACGCAATAGTCCAAAGAGAAAAATACAATCAGAACCAAAGTATGAAGTCAAAGAAAAATGTACATCGTGCAAAAAGAAAAATTTCCATGTCATAAATGCAAGAAATTAGGCCATTGGGCGAAAGAGTGTCCGTTGAAAAAATCAGCTTGAGAATTTAGGTAAGAATAAAAGTTAATCATCAGCATAAGCAATATATAAAGAATGTGTTGAAGAAAATGAATATAGACATTGATGGGTGCAAAGAAAAATTTTGTGATGGATGTGCAATTGGAAAAATGCACAGATTGCCATTCAAATCTAGGATCGATCGACCACAAGTCACTAGTGAGCAGATCCATACAGATGTGAATGGGCCCATGTCTATAGAATCACTGGGAAAATCACGTTATTACGTATGTTTTAAAGATGACTTTAGTAAGTTTTGGAAAGTTTTTTTTATGAAACACAAAAGTAAGGTATGTACTTTCTTAGAACAATTTTTAAATGAAGCTAGTACAAATGGGCATGTAGTAAAACAACTGAGATGAGATGAAGGGAGAGAGTTTGACAATAGAAAGGTATCTGAACTTCTTAAGAAGAGAAGTATAGAGCATTGTACCACCCCACCCTATACACCTCAGCAGAATGGTGTTGCTGAAAGGGAAAACCGCACGTTTGTGCGGTTCTATGTTGAAATGTGCACGTTCCATGTTAAACATATGTTAGTTGTCCAAACAAATGTGGACAGAAGCATGCAATACTGCAGTGTACATTCTGAATCGCACAAATATCGAAAAGCCAAATTGGAAGTTTGAAACATTTTTAAATATTTTAGCAATGAATGATATATTCACGTTAACAAGAACCTTTGCAGTAAATTTGATGACAAGGCAATACATGGTTATTTAGTTGGTTATGTGAATGACAGGGATGTTTTAAGGATATGGATTCCATCTGAAAGAAGAATCGTATCGAGCCACGACGTACGATTTAAACCTGAGGTTACATGCAATTTGCGAATTGTTAAAGTTAAAAGCCAAATCAGTGAACCAGCACCAGTCGGAATGTTTTAGTGTGAATGAAAACTCCGAAGAAGTAAAAAGTTGTATCGGTGAAATTGTGGAATCTGGAAATATAAAAAGTGTAGAATAAAGTTATCGGAAAATCAAGTATACCATAAGAGAATGAAACATATTCATGTCAAGTATCATTTTATTCGTAAAAAAGTAGCTAACAATGATATTCAATTCAAATATATGTCGATGAATGAAATGGTGGCTGATATGTTGACCAAGTCGTTAAATTCAAAGAAATTGCAGTTAATCTGTCAGAATTTGAATTTAAAATAATGTTTATTTTATTAAGGTCTATTATTTAGCTTATCTACTTTTCATGTTGAGGGAAAGTGTTGGAATATCCAACATAAAAAGTGAATATTGTCCTATAGTTGTTCTATATGGAGTGACATTGTTGACAGTTCAATAAGTAATGTCAAAAATAGGTCATAAATTACTGTCAGTTAAGTTTTGTATTGTTCTGTATGTAAGAAGGAATAAAGTATAATTGTTGATGACCAGCCGTTTATTGGTGCATATTTCCTAAAGTGCATATTTCCTTGTCTCTTGATGTCTTCAAACTAGAAGGAGGAATTCACTTAACTTAAATTATAACAATTATTTATTATAATAAACGTACTGTAACCTTTAATTGTGGGTTATTCCTATTTAAATAGTAATTACTTTAAAATGCCACAAGAAAATAGCTTCAGAACAATATTAAAATAATATAATAACGAAATTTTCAAGGCATAATAAGTTTAGAGAGTAGAAAAAAATTTTCTACTCTCTTACTAGTAAATTGTATATTACCTACTATTTGGATGCTAAGTAAATGCATCATAACAGATACTGAACGTAATGACTAGCACGTAATAAAAAAAATTACGCTTGAGTTTTATAAAAATGTGTAATATCACATAAGCCTCGTAAGTCAGTTGGTCGAGTTACCATGGAAACGAATTAACAGACGTTATTTTGACAGATTAAAAATTATTAATCTGTCAGAGTAAATATAGTGGTAATTTAATTTTTAAGTGGTAATAGTAAAATAAAGTATAGTGGTAATTTTAAGTTTGTGTAGTACACAACTTGAGTTGTAAGCTTATTACATGCTTGTAATAATTACTGCACTCGCCGCTACGCGGCTCGCGCGGAGTTTTTTTACTCGCATGTAATAAGCTTCTTACAACTCTCGTTATGTAATATACTATTATATTATTCTCTATTCTTTGTTTCAAGATAAGAAAATAACATTACGCTTATGGAGATCAGTGTTGCCAAAACTCTCAGACACTCTCTTTTGCACGGATGTCCAAGATATTCCCTTTGCTTAATTTTTGAATTTTCATTTTTAATTAACATTTAACTGTAAAGTCAGAATAACTACTAAATAAAAGCCTTATTATCATTATGTAGTCAGAGAACGACATAAAATAGCTGACATACGCACATCGTATTATTTTAAGTTGCAATTAGTAAATTAGATATACGCATTCCAAGTGGTCAATATTTTCTACTGATTTTCTATGATTCATGGCATATCGTATTCTCACCGAAAAACAAATAAACTGTCGTTACTATAATTAAAATAAGATAAAATAAAAATTATCTTTTGTAAATACTATTTATCTAATTAAAATCATTTTCCCTACTTTTCATCTCTTTGTTTCGAATGGGCACTTTTGGTCAATTACGTTAAAAAACATTAATTTAAATTCATGTTTGTGGAAACAAAAATACAAATTACACAACCCTAAATTGTACTTGTGTGTGTCGTGGCAACGCCGCGTTGCTATCGTCCAATGATATTTTCTAAACGCGGAACGTAGTATAGTATATAACTTATACATTATTTCTTTAATCGCCATTTAAGTTCATTCTAGGTTTCTAAACATTTTGATTACCTTCCTTTCTCCGATATTTACTATTATCTCAATATATATAACAGATTGAACGAAATAAATTCGGAACATAGGATATAATGTATTTCGGCTCAATTCTGCTGTAGCTGGTTGGCCAACAAAAGATTGTCAAATAATTATATTATAAAAAATCCCCTACTTCAGCGGGCTGCTGGATTCTGAACTCATAAAAATTGAAAACTACACATAAATCTACGATTTTATTATGCTGTCAAACCAGTTATAGTCCAGGAAATGTAGCATTTCACCTCGCAATTTTTTCGTGCGGCGTGGATTGACTTGAAATTTAACAGAAGGTAGGTAATAGCCTAAGGATCAAAATCTATATCGAACCAAAGTGCGCCAAAGCCTAGGGGGTGGTTGCCACCCCTCTCCGGGGTGAAAATTTTTTTTACGTTTTAACTACAGGTTTCGATTAGAAAAGTGATTCTAAACAAAAAATGTGCTACACATTTTTTTTATAAAATGATATTTTTCAAGTTATTCGCGATTGGAAAGTAACAACTTTTAGACGAAAAAATCCACGTTTTTAATCGATTATTCGCGGAATAACTCGAAAATGGTGCATTTTATCAAAAAAAATTGTAGAGAACAAATTTGTAGCTTTTAAAAAGACAAATACAATTACAAATACAATATCAATGTTCAGCGGTTTTTCTTCAAATGCCAAATTTGAAAGATTCAAAGTCAAATATCGGGAAAAGGATGCATTTTTGGAAGAAAACTCACAAAACCTTTTTTAAAGAGCATAAATAGACCTATCATAAAAAATAAGGTCAATACCTCATTTTTTACGAAAAAATCGAGGAAAACAACACCCTAACCACCCCCATAATTAAAATCGATCTTCACCCTTCTGCAATTCCCTTTGTAGATGTATGTTAATACGTCCAAGAAGTTTGACCCATTTAAAATGCTTAGTTTTAGAAAAAGTACAGCTTAAAGCGAGAAACGATTTACAATTTCATATTTTTTACCCTTCTTTTTTTAAATATGCCCGAAAAATACTGAAATATATGAAAAAAATATAAAATTACCAAATTGTAGCTTTTTTAATGACTAAAATTATCCTTTATTTAGATTTGTTTGTACAATGAATATTTGGCGAGATATAGCCGTTTAAAGCATCGATTTACGATCAAGCACCATCTTTTCGAGCCCTTTAAACTCAACCCCATTTAAAAACCAAGGGTTCCAAAAAGATTTAATTTACAGATCCTTGTAGCTATTAAAAACCTCTACAAATTGTTTTTGAAGAAACACTCTATCGTTAAAAATTAAAGGAAATACGTTAAAAAAACCAGTTAATTTTTTTCCGGAAAATTCCATTAGTATAGTACAGTACATTTCGGAGCATAATAATCTACAAAACCGGTATATTAGATAGTGGCGCGTTTATACATATAATTTTACAAGACGTTCTATATTTGAAAATCCAAGCAAAATAAAACATCTGCTCATATGTCTATGGCTTGGCAATGAAAATATCAGAGCAACAGATTGGGGATGGTATTCCAAAGATGGTTTGTTATTACCCGTACGCATGAACAAACAACCTGCACCCGATAAATTTTTGAAAATTATTTTTTGCCAATGCAAAAAAAGATGCGGCGTTTCATATGGGTGCAGAAAAGTTGGTTTATACTGTAACTCTACTTGTTCTGGGTGCTCAGGTGAAGGGTGCAATAACAGTCCACCAATAATTGAAGAAGATGAGGATGACATAGATCACGATGAAGATGTAATTGATGACGAATAAAATTAATATTATATATTGTTTTACCTATAAATGTAAATATTTTTCAACTATTTATGTAAATGTATAAGAATATATGGTGCCTTTTTATGTTGATAATTTTGTTTGTATTTAATTCTACTTTTTTCAATTAATTATCTTATAAATTAAGTTTATATAAACTGCAATGTTGTAAAGGGTGATTTTCAAAAGTTGAAAAGTTGCAAAATTTTGGCAAAAAATTGTTTTCACCTATAGCACACATAACAATTGATTTTCAAAGGGTTGAAAATAGTATGATATTTGTATTTTAAAGTATAAAAAACATCACTATTTAACTAATACCAAACCAAATTTCACTCATCTTAAGAATTTGTAATATTATTTTACAATTTTTTAAAATTAAGGGTAGTTTTCCACCCCTAAGAACAATCAGGGTTCAACGGGCATGACATAAACTATAAAGTAGAGGGTGAGTTGAGCTAATTTCCAAAATTTTTATGCAAATCGTTCCAAGGTGAAAATCATTTTCTTCGCATTACTAATTTCTTTCATATTAAATCTCTAATACGGTCGCTTTTTAAGGGTTTGAAATATGATGGAACTTTATTTCAAAAGCACGAAACTATCAATATTTAATTAATTCAAACCAAATTTTACCCTATTCAGTATTATATGTTATTTAAATTTTTGACAATTAGGGGTAGTTATCACCCTAAGAACAATCAGGGTTCGTCGACATAACATAAACTATAAAGAAGCAGCGGGATGAAGTTGAGCATTTATAAATCCAAATTTTTATCCAAATCGATCCAAGGCGAAATCATTTTTTTAGAAATAGTAATTTTTTACATTAATCTCTAACAAGGTTGCTTTTTTAAGAGGTTGAAATATGATGGACTCTATTCAAAAGTATAAAATAATCATAATTAACTAATTCAAAACCAAATCTTACCCATATTCAGGTTTAATATGTTATTTTATAAGTTTTTTGACAATTAGGGGTAGTTTTCACCCTAAAACTCTTTAGCGCACTTCGGGATCGATATAGATTTTGATCCTCGGGCTATTACCTACCTTCTGCTAAAATTTCAACTGGATACATTGCAGGACGAAAAAAATTGGCGAGGTTTTAAACTTTTTTTCGAGCTTTCATCTCTCCTGAACTATTATCGCTCTCCTTGAGAACAAACCCGTCTTACGCAAACAACTTTGTTGCGAGACAGATAGTATGAACGATATTTTTATACAAATGTCTATACCCAGGTATGGATTTATTTTTGTCCAAGCTTTATATTGGTCCACTATTTCAAATGCAGTTCAAACAGACATGTATTAAATTTGGATGTTCCGTTTTAATTTGGTTTCAAATCTTTGTATAATATATATATATTGATATATAATATATATATCTATAAAGTATATATATATATATAATATATAATATATATATATATAATATATATATAATAAAATATACAATTAATGTTTTCTTTCATTCTTGGGATATAATTATATATTAAATATATAATATATATATATATATATTATATAAAAAAGTTTACTAAAAACGTTATTACCAGTTTTCCATTGGTCTTTGCCTCAACAATCAGTAAGGTACTCTTCAATTTTTTTTTTTCTTTCTATTCCACTTTCCCTCTTGCTTTCCTATACTTACCGGAACTCTTCCTTACTTTACCCCAAATACCGAACAACCCAACAGTACCGACCCTTCCGTTTCAACAAACTTAAAATACACACAGAATAACAAGGTAACATTGAAGAAAAATAAACCAAAAGCAATAACAAAAAGACAAAGGACTAAAAAAAAAGATATAGCGTAATAATTAAATAACAAAATTACGATACAGAAGCTCTTTGCATATTGCTTAATTCCAATTGAATCTGCATTCATATTTACATACAACTTTGACGTTGTCAAAAATATTAGGTGTTGTATTATGTTTAATAATATATTAAATCCTTACTTTACGTACTTACCGATCTAGACATGTTAGTCAGCTTGCTTCCAACCATACATAGAACATTATTATTATTATTATCTGAATAGCAGTTTCTACCGTTTTGTAGGTTAAGTTCATTTGGCAGTGTAATGTTTAATGTACATTGGTATCCAGGCTCACCTTCATTTTTTACACGTACATTATATGAAAGTTTATCATTTTCTCCCAGTATTATTTGAGTGCTAAAATGGAGAATTAAATATAATATGCAGTCTTATAAAATAAATTTACTTAAATTATTGATCTTTTATGTGCATACGCATTCAAAAGATTATTAATTTTACTATTTTAGTTTCTTAATATTGTTCTGAAGCTAGTTTCTTGTGGCATTTTAAAGTAATTACTATTTACATATGGGAATAAGCCACAATTAAAGATTAAAGTACGTTTAGGACTTCGGAAATTGTTCGTAAAATATAAACATTAATAAATTCTCAATCTACAATGCCTACTTATTATAAAGAACGATAGGAAGAAAAGCGAGACGATATTTTGCATCATCATATTCCTGGAAAAATATAAAGCAACAAAGCAGCTTTCGATGATCCTCAAGCTCTAAACAATAATGAGAAATTTGATAACGATTTTTTTATTATTAAATAATTAATTTGAATAATAATCAATTATTGTGACCGATACTGATTTTATTGTCTTTGCGTGACTTAAAATTAAAAAATTAATCAAATATTGTGTATTAAAAACCGTTTTAGAACAATTGCTTTATATTGTGTAAAATTTACTACTGTAAATCATTAATAATTTAATTAAAAAAATAATTGTTGCGTTAGTGATAAGAAAATTTAAGAATGATAAGTAGGCCAAATATGTGGGGTATCAACTCAGCGTTTTATAAAAAGATGGTTCATCGACAGATTGCAGCAATTACCGTACAGTAATACACACCCAAGCAAACAGTACTTTTAATCATATATATACTATAATATAATATAATAAATATAAATATTATATATATATATATAAATCTAATAATATATAATATTATATATATAACTATACTATATACAGGGTGGACCATAAGTAATTGTACAAAAAGACAACCGTAGATTCATCACACTTAAAAATATTACGACTTTAAAGTCAAGTTGCTTTAATAAAATGTTGATATTAAGAAAGATACAGGGTGTTAAAGTGGAAATTTAAAATTTTATTTTTCGCTATAACTTTTATGTTTGTCAACATTTATGTATAAAAATTTACAACTGGGTACTATTAAATATCAGAAATTATAATTTGATGTATATTTTGATGTAGCTGATAGAGGGCGCCACATATGCCACATATGTGGCATACATATACACGTAACTTTTTTGCTCTTTAAGTTACCGATATTTTTAATAAAAAATATTAAAGATACGTTATTTTAACACAAAAAAGGGATACTTGTTAATACCTTCAAAACTCAACAGTTTTCGAGATAATCGCAATTTAGAAATCAACTACATAATTCTGATTTATCGCAATTACTCCAGGCAATGAAAGAAAATTAAAGAAAAACATCAATACTTCTGAATTTTGGTATAAAATACCTTTAATAAAGTTAATAGTTAATGAATTATTAAATAAAATAAATATATCAGCAGAATAAAATAATAGGATTTGATAAATAACAGAATAATTGGATTTTACATCAAACACTTTACGTTTTGTATTAAATTAAAGTCACAATCAAAACATTTTATTTACAAACCAAATTAAGAAATAGTTAAAGTAAATAAAATTAAACTTTTTGTTAAAGTAAGTGTTCACTATGTCCATCATTTTCTTTAATTCATTTGTCAATACATTCCATAAAATATCGTCTCATATTAAATAGCGTCATTGGTTCTGAAGAAACTGCTGCAGTATTTATTATAAGTGTTATAAGTATAATAATAAATAATTTTTTTAAATGTTTATGAATTAAATAATTATATTAATATCTCACCACAAGAATAAGACTACCATGAACAATCCAACGTTCAGGAAAGTTGCATTTAAATACTGTCTCACTCCGCTTTCTCTGTAATTTAATAGTTTACCGTCTTGTAGAAACCACATATTTTGAGTTAAATTTGATGACAATTCTTTCAATATATCAATAAAATCATTTTATAAAAAATGTAAATAAATCTCGTTATTCAAAGACAATTCGCATATCCATAAAAAATAATTATCAATGGTTCCAAACCATAGGACGTGCATTTTAAATATCAATTTTGAATGATGTTTTACGGATATGCGAATTACCTTTCAATTTGAATGGTGAGATTTATTTACATTCTTTACAAAATGATTTTATTGATTTATTGGAAGAATTGTCATCAAACTTAAGGCGAAATATGTGGTTTCTACAAGATGGTACACCATTACATTACAGAGAAAGCGGAGTGAGACAGTATTTAAATACTCCTTTAAACTTTCCTGAACGTTGGATTGTTCATGCTAGTCACATTCTTGTGGTGAGATATTAATATAATTATTTAATTCATAAACATTTTAAAAAATTACTCATTATTATACTTATAACACTTATAATAAATACTGCAGCAGTTTCTTTAGAACCAATGACGCTATTTAATATGGGACGATATTTTATGGAATGTATTGACAAATGAATTAAAGAAAATGGTGGACATAGTGAACACTTACTTTGACAAAAAGTTTAATGTTATTTAGTTTAACTATTTCTTAATTTGGTTTGTAAATAAAATGTTTTGATTATGACTTTAATTTAATACAAACTAAAATAAAATGTTTGATGTAAAAAACCAATTATTTTGTTATTTTATCAAATCCTATTATTAATTATCCTGCTGATATATTTATTTTATTTAATATTTCGTTAATTATTGACTTTATTAAGGTATTTTATAACAAAATTCAGAAGTATTGATGTTTTTATCTATTTTTCCTTTATTGCCTGGAGTAATTGCGTTAAATCAGAATTATGCAGTTGATTTGTAAAATGCGATTATCTCGAAAACTATTTAGTTTTGAAGTTATTAACAAGTATACCTTTTTTTTGTTAAAATAATGTATCTTTAATATTTTTTATTTTAAATACCGGTAGCTTAAAGAACAAAAAAGTTAAGTGCAAATTTATGCCACGTATGTTTCATATGTGGCGCCCTCTATTAGCTATATCAAAATATTCATCAAATTTTAATTCCAGATGTTAAATAGTACCCAGCTGTAAATTTTTGTATATAAATGTTTACAAACATGAAAGTTATAGCGAAAAATAAAATTTTAAATTTCACTTTAACACCCTGTATCTTTTTTAATATCAATATTTTATTAAAGCAAGTTGGCTTAAATCGTAATATTTTAAAGTATAGAATCTGCGGTTTCTTTTTGTACAATTACTTAAGGACCACCCTGTATATATATATATTTTATTAAAAATCCTTTGTAAAATCCTTTGTAAAATTTTTTAATATATGGTATACAGCCAACTACAGGAACGTAGATTCCTTGTGGATTTATATATATATATATATAATATATATATATACTATATATATATATATAATATATATATATATATATATATATATATATATTAAAAAAGCGATAAACGCTTGTAATCAACGTTGATCAGTTAAACTACAAACACAACTCTTTGGGTATGCAGCGGAAAATACGACAAAGAGGTAGTCTTTTTAGTCTACCAAGCTTTCGCAAATCTTTATTTGCATCATCAGTGTGTATAACATTATACATGTTTTTGTCTTTGGTTTTATAGAACCTTCTTGCTTCCATGAGATCCAGAATCTCATCGGTCATCCATTCATTTTTGTTCTTGATCAGCTTAGGTGTTAGTGTTGTCTCACATGTGCGTATAAGAGCATCTTTTAATATATGCCATTTCCTGTTTGCATCTTCAGTAGGAATAATTGCTATTTTGGTGAGCTCTTCATTAATTTTTCGTGTGACTTGCTCTTTTGTTGATGGATCTTTCAAACGGATACTTGTATCCTCTCTGTTGTAGTTTATAGCCACAAGCTTTTTTAGAATAATTCTAAACCTTTCTACAACTGGGTTGTGATCTGATCTCACATCAGCTCCGGGGTATGATTTTACTGATTTTATGGAATTTCAGTATCGTTTGCAGATGAGAAGGTAGTCAATTTGATTTCTGATGACGTTATGTTGGTTGTCTGCTGGAGATTTCTATGTATTAGAGTCTCCTGGATAGCAGAAAGAATCACCATGTATATACAAATGGCTTATTAAGGGCCGAAAATATGAAGATATACTTACTTTTTTGGTAGAACATTCATACTGAGCTTCGTCTTGCATAAACTGGCTGAACTACAGCCGTGTATGAACGGGATTGATAAAGTTACAATTTTTGGTCCTTCTACCATTACGTTTTCAACCACATCGCTTCTAAGGGAAATTTGAAAAGGAACGAAGTCTCCTTCTGGTTTCTAAAATATTAGGATAATACTTACATACAAAAATAAGAGTTTTAAAAATGTGACATTTCTATTGTCTTATTTATATTTTTTTACTAACAAAAGCCGAATATACAACATCAACAACATTGAATGAAAATCCTCGAATATATTCTCGTCAGTTCTCATCATTTTTTATCTTTGTTGATCACAAAAATTGTATCAGAGTCCAATAGATATGTCATTCAAAAGGATGTGAGTAAACCTGCTGGGCTGACCACAGTAGATATAAATGAATACCTAGGAATTTGCATCTATATGTCCCTAGTTCACATGGCCGAATTGTCGTAGTAATTGGTACACTTCCTTAGGCTATCCGCAAATAAAAAATAAAATGAGTAAGAAAAGGTTCGAATTTATCAGGAAATGTATACATTTCAACGACAATACGATTTTGGATCAAAATGATGTGTAATCAGAACGTCTTCATAAATTACGGTCCTTTGTTGATCATTTGAATCATTTGATCATTTGTATAAAACAATACATGTCTGCTCAAATCTCTGGTAAACCCCACACAATTGGGAATACAAACTTTTTATTTTATGCAGTGTTAGTGGATATTCCTACAATTTTGAAATATACACTGGTACAGAAAGCGATAGAAGGAATCGTCGGGTTAATGAAACAGACCTAGGAACATTTGCCAATATAGTTGTCAGATTATCTAGGATTATCTAGGAAATCGTATAAAAATTTAAAGCTTACAGGATCTATTTTTTTATTTTTTCTACACTTTCAAAAATATAGAGGTTATTGACATGCAGAGCTGATGCGTGCGAGGTGGTAGTTGCACTTAGCATGCTGTAATTCATCATTATAAAAATTTCTAGCTTTACAGGCACAGGTACATGCAAGCACGTTACTAATTAGCATAAATACCCTCGTATATAGTACAAACTCATCACCGCCATAAAAGTAGGGATTTTAAAATAGACCCCGGGAGATTCGTAAACTCATCACTAGTCCTACCTGAACCCTGTGGCAGGTACAGAACATAAACCCCTTGCAAACCGCTAAAATTTGGCAATTTGACAGAGTAAATCTAAAATAGATGTTTTAAATGCCAATGCAATTCATTGGTTTTTATTTTGGGAATTCCATGAAGTTCTATTGATATCTACCTGAAACTATGCGATAAGAAAAAATTTCTCTTCATTTGTCTTATTCCTTTAACATGGATAGTGAACTGCTCATTGATTATGTTTTGAGCCAACGCGGACGAAAAATAATACTTATCAATAATTTCAAATTTCAATTGCTAAAGACTATAAAATCAATTGCCTTTTGTGGACTTGTTCGACGAAAAGGTGTAAGGCTAAATGTCATACAACTGGTGAGTAGTTTTTATCCCGTATTTTTTAGTTGTTTCGCACTTGTGGTAGATCATTCTGATCAAACTGAAAAAAATCAGCTCAATTAAGTTCTTTAAGTCAACTGTACAAGATGTTCTTGTAGACAAGGCATAATATTACTTTGTTGCTTTAAGTAGATTACCCTTTCTAATATTACATTTTTAGATTTCTGATTAAATTGTTAAAGTCACATTGTCACAGTTTTAGATTTTAGGTAGATCATTCTAAAACAATGAATATCTCAAAAAGTATGCCAGATGTTACATTGACTTTTCGCCTATGGATGTAACGCAAAAGAATTTGTTTTTTTTTAGTTATGACACTTTTACTTCAGACACCTTTTCATTAATTAAGTTAAGTTTGATTGTTGGTTAAATTTTCTGGATTTTAATTGTAATAACAATAAAAAATTAATATTTATAAAACTGTTAGATACAAACCAAAGTATGTATATAAAATATGCATGTTTCTTATACATTACCCATTTGAGAAAACTACGCTAATAATAATAAGTGCAAATCGGTGTAATATGGAAGACAGTGGTCTGTTAAAAACAACCTAAATCATGCCACATACTACACCTTGTATACCCGCGAATAATTTTTGGTGATACACCATTTAATTCTATAAAACTTCGCTATTTTTTTTTACTTGACACAATTTCCATGTTCCGTGAACGGTGGTAGAAGGAAACACACTACACTATTTAGAAGTTTAAATCTAAACACAAATGTGTATATATTTTTAATAAAAATTCAAAGTGCCAGGATTGGAAAATCATTTAGTATAAATAACTAATTTCTGTATAGACTTGCAATTGTACTCTTATAATAAGTTTTGTAACATCAGCTGAAGACCCAAATATTTTTTTGACTTAACCACAAATGGATCATTTTTTATAATTCAATTAAATAATTTTTCACATGAAACGTAAAAATATGCAAAGAACTTATTAAAATTTTAAAAATAAAGAAGACTTTATTTTATGGAATAAAGTCTTATTGTCTGAAAATGACCAGTATGTGTTTATATTTCTATATAATTATTTTAGTTGCGAAAAATATTCTGCACTGAAACTTGGAACTCAATCACTTAAGCGACCTTAACAAACTAAGTCGACAAGTCATCAGCAACTCCTGCAAGATGAAAGCTCAAGAGGATTTATCGGAGAGGCCATCAAAAATCATTCACCAAAAGATTGCAACTTCTTCTTTCAAGGAACACCTGACAACAACGGGCATCTCTTGTATCGGCGGAATATGAACAACAATCTTCTATCTTTTATGCGACCTGTACCGAAGATAATGGGGAAGCGCATCAAGCAATCCGACAGATGAATCTAAATACGGACCGCGATAAATGTTTTGTGTTGTATAACGATTAGCAACAAAATATTAGATTTGGCATTCTTGAGAATTAGCCTTATTTGGCAAAAGCAGGGGCATATTATATGGATGGTACATTTCAATATGCTCCAAAAATTTTCTTGCAATTATTTACCATCCATGGCTTATTAAATGGGCATTACGTGTCTCTTATATACTGTGTTCTTTCAGACAAATGCATAGAAACCTACATCACGATCTTTACTCAATTAGTTCGTTGCTCCGGAGAAGTTGGTGTCGTTTTCGGCTTGTGACTGATTTTGAAATTTCGATTCACAAGACCGTAATTGCCGTTCGGCTATCTACGAAACGAATTGGGTGTTTATTTCACTTGCCTCAAAGTTGGTTTCGCAAAATCCAAAAACTTGGTTTGGTAACCTTACAAGAGGGGAGATTCCAACAGGCAAGTCACAGGCTGCACCTGTTATTTGGCTGGCTATTTTTGGACCCAGCACGAGTCGGCGATTGTTTTGTCAACGATTTCATGCTGATATACCTAACCTGCGTTCATTTATGAAAATGGTCAATTATAAGGTAGAGAACTACATAAGTAAGTAAATAATAACCTGCATAAATTGGAAGATATGTCTAATAGGTCACAGCGTAAGAAACCCGATATTGTCTATTTTAAAGCTCTCTCTCTTTAATCCTGACCCCCCAGGGGGAGTGTAGTGGTCGACGTGATGTCGTCGTATTGTCCGTCTCCAGAGATCTCTGTCATCTGGTCATTTCTTTTAATTCATGCATAGGTCTTTGGCATATTCCTGTAATTTGATCTATCCATCTTGTTAAAGATCTTCCTCGTGATATTCGGCCTTCTACCTTTCCTTGTATTATGAGTCTTTCCATATTTTCTGTGTTTGCTCTCATAACATGCCCAAAATATTTTAATTGTTGGAGATGGACTTTACTAGAGAGTCGTTGGCTAACTTTTAGCTCTCTTAAAATTGAATTATTTGTTCTACGGTCGGTCGAAGGAATTCGTAACATTTGTCCTCCAACAGAACATTTCAGTGGCGTCTATCTTTCTTCTCTCCGATTGTCTCAGAGTCCAAGATTCATATTCGTAGGTCAGTATTAGGAATATTAAGCAGTTGATCAACGTCATCTTTATCGCTCTGGAAATTTGACAGTCCTTCCATATTTTGGTCATTTTGCTGTGGCAACTTTTGCTAGATCACATCTACGTTTAATCTCTTCTTGTAATGACCCTGTGTTTGTGATTAATTATCCCAGATATAAGTATGAGCTCACAACCTCGAACCGGTCAATTGTGGTTATGTGTGGATGATTGTTGTGTAGTCTCGCATAATATACTCCCCATATATGTTGAATAATTGTGGAGATAGTATACATCCTTGTCTGACACCCCGTTCTGGATGAAATTCGTTCGAAAGTGTGTCAAGTACTTCAAGTGATCCAGTAGTGTGTTCATATAGTTCGGTTATAAGCGTAATTAGATGTTGTGGTACGGCCTACTTCTTTTTAGTATTCGCCATAAGTGTCTCCACTTGACCCTGTCGAGACGCTTTACGGTTATCTATAAAACCAGATGTATAGTGGGGTGTTGAATTCTCTAGATTTCTCGATTATCTGTTTTATATTCAGCAGGTGTTCTCGAGTGCCTCTACCTTTGGTAAATCCAGTTTGCTCTTGTGGAATTCCTGTATTTGAAGGAATGTTTTCAGTCTTATCACTGATTATATGTAGCATTATCTTGCTGACATGGGATATAAGAGAAATAGTTGTATAATTGTCGCATTTATGGAAGTTGCCTTTAGTAGATGAAGTAACTTTACGCCGGTTTCTTCTGTGGACTTTAAGCATTCTGCTGTTATAATATCTGCTTTGGTGCTTTGTTGTAATTGAGCTTGTTGATAGCCTGTCTTATTTCATTTTCGAATATATCAGGTTCTTCTTTCACCTCGTCAGAGATTTGGTTAACAAGCCAACATTTTAAAGCAATTTGCTTAAAATAATTTCTGAATTAATTACCACATAAACGAGAAGTGTAACAGGTAACAGGCAATCTTCCGCATTAGCAACCAGCGGCTTGGGGCAAAAATATTGGTGATGAGTTTACCTATCTGCGGTAATGAGTTTACATATCTCCAAAGGATACCGGTGATCAGTTTACTATATCTCGGAGGGTCTAATAATTTTATGGGGGGCTATAAAGTGATGAGTTCGTACACGTCTACAGGCACAACGTTACACGGAGGGTTCATTATCTCTCCCACTCATTATAATGTTTTTATTTATTTACTAAAAATAATTACTTACCTCAGCAGTAGCATTAAATGTATTACAATATTCCCTATTTTTTTCAAGAATACTGTTATTTTCTCTATGCCTCACTACATCATCAACGCTTATTTCTATTGAAAATGTTAGTGATGTTAGTTTGCTAAGTTGTGATTTTGGGAAAAATTCAATGCAATAGCGAGTTGGTACTATTGATGTTTTTTCAACGGGTATTGAGTTTATATCTGATGTAAGAGTAGCACGAAATATAATTATTTCTTTAGCCTGAAGTACGAAAACATTCTCACTTTGATACGCACCAACTGCAATATCTAAAACAAAAGATTATTTTAGTATACAACTAGTGTAGGTGATATGGGCCCGGTAGATCCCATACGTTAAAATGCACATTATGGTTTATGGTAACGAATCAGCAATGAACTCGAGACCACTTACTACAAATTTGCGTTATCATGGAACACCTTTATAATTGCAATTTTATTTTTTTTATTTAATTAATAATATATTATTTTAAAATCGGATGTTGTTAATATCAGATGTTTTAGCTTTAAAAATCTTGGGAAAACAAAAACATTACGGCATTTGAAAGTTAAGTGGAGAAGTGTTCATGTCAAACCTAGAAAGAAAAAGAGAACAGTAAGTTCATTTAATAAACCTACGCAAAGTGAAGCTAGTTTCGATAAAACCGCCATGTTTTGGTGCCTATAAGTTGCCCATTTCTACCTCCTACAGGGTTAAAGGCAATGCCACCGTAATCCGAAACACTTCTTATATTATAATCACTTAAATCTCAATAATACATCAGACTACAAACCAATTTTTAATAATCCAACAACCTATCTGGAGAAAACAACAAATGTCATTATCAATAAAACCTCTCCTCCTGTTTAAATAAAACAACCTCTAATTCCTAGTGAAGAGTCTTCCAGAACATATCGAATATATGGCCTACCCAAAATTCACAAACTCGAGATTCCTCTACGTCCCATCGTCCTCTACTTCCATACAACTGCCCTACACAACCATTGGGCAAGTCAAGTACTTGGCCAAAACTCTACAACCTCTCGTCGAAAATGCTTCATTCTTCTTCAAAAATTATTTTAATTTCATCGAACTTTTTAAACAATACCCTATCTCAGCGTCAGACAATCTAATAAGTTTCGATATCGTTTCACTCTTTACAAACATTTCTATAGACCAAACTCTAAACATTCTGAAAAATAAATACAGTATACAGCAAGACCATTTATTTTTCGTTAAACGTTGTATGTCCAACACTTATTTCATCTTCCAAAATCAAATCTACAGACAAATCAATGGTGCTTCAATGGGCTCCCTACTATCTCCAGTAATTGCCAATATCTTTATGGAAGACTTCGAGACCCGAGCACTATTCACATTAATGCTCAAAATCACATGTTGACTACGATATGTTAACGATACATTCGCCATTTGATCCCATGGCAGTAAAGCTTTGGTGTCTTTTCAAGCCCATCTGAATGGTATACATCCTAGTATCCAGTTCACGATGGAAGTGGAAACTGTTTCATACTCGTATCTACCGTTTCTAGACATTATCATAAAGAAAAATCAATTACAAGATTTTCATTACTCTGTTTTCGAAAACTGACCCATACCAATCGTTACTTGCATGCCAACTGTCATCATCCTTCTTCACAAATTATTTCAGTCATTAATACGCTTGTCTATAGATCAATACACCTTTGCGATGATGCAAGTAGAGCCGCTGAGCTGTCTAGTTTTAATCAAGCCCTCATCGAAATCGGTTTCCGCGAAAATCAAATCAATAGGAGCATCCACAGACATCAATCTCCCAGTCAATCTCAACCCAAAGATTCAGACCCTCATCATACGAAATCTTTCCTTTCTTACATAAAAGGTGTTACTGAAAAAATCGACAAAATTCTAAAATCATTAGGAATAAAAGCAATATATACCCAAAACAAAAACCTTCATCTCTTGTCCGATAAATCAAAGATAACATTCCAAATGAACAACACGGAGTTTATGAAATTTCTTGTGCAGACTGCCTCCGATTTTATATAGGCCAAACAAATCGTAGAATCCAAAATAGGATTTATGAACTTTCCATTTCTGTTAGCAATTCCGACTCAATTTCAGCTCTATATGAACACCACATAGTGAGAACCACAGCCCCCATCCGCTCCTATAAACCAGGAATTATCCGAGAAGCCATAGAAATAGCCAAATTGTCTTAATAAAAGAGATGACGGCATACATTCACCTTCGACTTGGAGATCTCTCGTAAAGAAAATTTTGTCCGCTCCGGCCGTCAATCAAAATCCTACTGTCAGAAATGTTCGCGCCAATCCCCACGTCAATTCCCGCGTCAATCCCCGCGCTGACCCCCACGCCAACCTTCACCCAAACCACTTTACCATCGACGGTATAAATTAACCGACCTCTATTATTAGTACCAGTAATGCATTGGTTAATGATTAGTGTTGCAATGTCTGGGAGCTTGGGAGACTGAGACCTCAGAAGCCCTGAAAAAGACATCGAAGATAATGTCGATAGCTCGGCGCAATAATAATCGACGCGGTTCAATCCGGAAGACTGTTGAGTTTAATATTAATTCCTGTAATCAGCTTACCATTGTAACCATCATTGTTTACATCTACTCCTTTTGAAAGACCCATTCCAAATCCTCTAACCTTCGGCACAACTGGTGAAAATGTTGATGGTGTTAATCTCTGGTTAAACGTTTCATTTATTCCAAATCTGGTACCCATGTATATATAAACAGCACCAGTACCGTCGTCCTCAAATGGCGCTGATATTGCTATATCTGAAATTAGAAATCAGACACGTATTTCATTAAAATGTATACCTAACAGCTCGTTTAACTTTTTTTTTAATAATCGCCTAACTCTTATATATATATATATATATATATATATATATATATATATATATATATATATATATATATATATATATTATATTTCTGCTCCATAGATTATAGTAAAGCTTTCGATTTGGTTAACTGGAGTAAAATGTGGCAGGTTTTGTCTGAAATGGGAGTCTCCAATCATCTGATACTGCTAATTAAAAGCCTGTACAATAACAATTATGCCAGAGTTGGAATAAATGGGGAACTAACGGATAGTTTCAGGGTTACAAAGTGCGTGAGACAAGGCTGCATACTAAGCCCAATTCTATTTAACATGCACCATTGGTGGGAAGAAGATTTGCAACTTGAGATATGCAGATGATACTACTATCCGCGCTTGTTCTGAAGCTGAATTGATTCACTTGCTACAACGGATAGAAGAAGTAAGCTTAACGATGGGCCTTAAAATAAACAGAGATAAAATGAGAATCATGATAATTGACAGAGCTAACAACAATCAAAATCATCTGGTCGTGATAAACAATATCGCTGTTGTAGATAAATTTGTGTATTTGGGCTCATTATTAACCAACAAAGGAGGCTGTACTGAAGAAATAAAGCAGCGGTCAGCATTCGCAAAAAAGCGCTATGGCAAAATTAACAAAAATTTGGAAAAGTCATGAAATAACTACCGATATAAAAATGAGACTAGTAAGAAGTCTAGTTTTTCCAGTTTTTACTTATGCATCGGAATGCTGGACCCCCGCTGAGAAAGACAAAAAGAATATAGACGTATTTGAGATGTACTGCTGGAGACGAATACTGGGAATACCATGGGTGGCCCGAAGAACAAATGAATCCATACTGGACCAGCTAAACATAAACAAAAGACTAAGAACACAAATATCAGAACAAATAATAAGCTATTTTGGACATGTGCTTCGAAGAAATGGTCTTGAAAAAACTTAACATCCAGGGAAAACTAGAAGGCAAAAGAAAAAGAGGTAGATCTTTTATACGATACCCGGACCATATTGTTGCTACCATTGGCGCTCCATTGTTAGAATGTGCTAGAATGGCAGAAGATAGAAAAACGTGGAGGAACGTTGGGAAATTTAGCTAATAGATTCATGATATCACGATACATGCATCAGGTAACGACTAAGAAGAAGAAGATATAGATATATATATATATTAACAATAGTGTATCACTCACTAGGAGAGGAAAGAATACCGAACTAACTCCTGCAGTACGGTGGAGCAGATCTGACCAAACAACTCTCTTCAAAAAGGGAGACAAATCGGACCCGGAAATTAACTCAAAATTAACTCAAGGAAAGGAGGAAAACTCAAATTAACAACCAAAGTGATAAATAAAATTGAATAAAATTATAACACTAGCAGAAGAACAACAATCTTTTAGGTCGGGAAGATCATGCACCGACGCCATATTTATAATGAGGCAAGTGCAAAAGAAAGCATTTGAATACAACAAACCGGCATATCTATGTTTAGTGGACCTTAAAATGGCATTTGACCGGGTCAAATTAAAAGGCGTTATCCAATTACTGTATGCAAGAGAGATACCTCTTGTTCTGTATTCTCGTCGTTTTGGATTCTGACTACACTCTTTACGCCTGTGAGCGTAAGTTCCGTTAGTTGAACAAGATGAAGCGGCATTTGAAATTTCACCATAGCCTGTAGAAGTTTTTGTCTGTTGACTGAGTTGCATGCAGCTTTGAAATCCACGAATATGTGGTGGGTATCGACTCCGAACTCAAGCGTTTTCTCAAGAATCGACCTGACTGTGAAGATTTGATCCGTTGTTGATTTATTGGGTCGGAAACCGCATAGGTAGTTCCCAACTATTTGTTTAGCATAGGGGATCAATCTTCTGTACAATACGTTGGACAATACTTTATATGCCACGTTAAGTAGGGTGATGCCTCTATAATTATCACATACCATCATATCTCCTTTTTTGTAAAGAGGGTGCATTATATCTAATTTCCAGTCTGCGGGCGTTTCCTTCCGTAGCCAGATGTCGGTTACTAATTTATGCATGTTTACAAGGGGTGTCACCTTCATTTTTAAAAAGTTCAGCAGGAAGATTACCCAAACTAGGAGCTTTGTTTTTTTTCAGTTTTGAAATGGCTTCTTTAATTTCTTTTTCGGTGGGGAGCGGCTCTTGAGCGTTTTCATCCATTTCAGGCAAGGTAATTCCTATTTGGTCTTCTTCATGACTGTCGCTAAGCAGTTCTTTAAAATGATTCTCCCACCTGTTTAGTATCTGTTCTTTGTCACCAAATGAAACCTTCTCTGTTTTTACATGCTTTTATTCTGGGTTTGAATTGTTTCCTGCAGCTGTTTATTTTCTGGTAGAATTTTCGCGAGTCTTTTCTGTTGTGGTGGTTAAAAATATTGTGTTGTTTAGAGCGTTTTCGTATGACTCTTTTTTTTTCTAAACGTCCTTTTTTCTTCTCGTCTATGATTTTCATAGTCTTCCAGGTTTAATCTCGTTCTGCGCTGCTAAAATCTTTTGTATGCTTCATTTTTCTGTTGGTTAATGGATCTACATTCTTCGTCAAACCAATCTTTGTTTATTTTAGCCGGGTTAGGTTTTAAAAAGCCTTTAGCCGCTGTATGGATAGCTTGCTTGCATTTGGTCCAGTGTTCTTCTATACTTAAATTTTCGTCCATTCTTGTCAGCTCTTTATTGAAAATTTTCCTGTAGTTATCCTTAACGTCTTCAAATTTTAGCTTCAATTTTTAGATTTTGTGCTCCTGCCCTTCTTAGCATTTGATATACGAGCCTGACTTTTGTTCTTACAAGGTAGTGGTCAGAGTCTATATAAGCACCTCTACATGCTCTTACATTTAGTACATCCCAGAAATGTCGACTATCAATTAGTACATGGTCAATTTGGTTTTTTGTTTGACCATCTGGTGATTACCATGAGGCTTTATGGATATTTTTGTGATGAAAAGATGTACTTACTACCACCATTCCCAATGATACTGTAAGTTCAATCAGGCGCAAATCATTTTGGTTACTGATAGCATGAAGACTATGCTCGCCGATCTTGGGTCGGTAAATAGTCTCTTGGCTGACTTTAGCGTTAAAATCACCAATAATAATTTTCATGTCGTTGTTCTGACATTGTCTGTAACCCGATATTTTTAGTTTTTTATATTTCATTCCGGCAAACTGCAGCTCTATTTTCTCTATTCACTTGATCTTCCACTTCAGTTTCGAGCTTTCCGTAGCTAGATAATGAGATGCCTAGAAATTTAAACTCCATTACTTGTTTTATTATCTGACTATCCAGCTTTAATTTACGCATTTTGTCTTCTTTGTGAAAAATACTATTGTTACGAACGTGCATTCAACGAGGCACGTATAACGGTTGCATCTCGAAACAGCACCTCATTTTCCATGCGGCGCGGCATCTCGAAAGCGAGTCGATATTTCGAGAAAGATCAGTCGCGTACGCCCAGAGGTGCGACTTTTCTAGAAAATAGTAACTTTGGTTATATATATGTAACGATCTTAGGAATAAGTTTAGTTGATAAGATAATACCGAACTGTAAAGTTATAAATAAATATATTTATATAAATTCGAACCGCTCGTTTTATTTAAAACCGGTACACTATATTAAATTTTCTGACGGGTAAATTAAATTTGTGCAGCATACGTTATAAATCGTCTTTACTTTGAGAGTGTACTATTGCGTCATCTGCATATCAGATTATTTTAATTTGTTTTTCTTCCACTTGGTATCCTTTTTTAGTTCTTATTTTTTTATTATTAAATCCATTATTAGGTTGAACAAGAGAGAACTCAGGTTCTCTCCGTATAATAAGTGGATAACCGGTGGAACGGTCAAATGCCTTCCTTAAGGGTCCACAAAACATAGATACGCCGATTTGTTGTATTCTGATGATTTCTCTTGTACTTACCTCATTATAAATACAGCGTCGGTGCCTGATCTTCCCGACCTAAAAGCTTGTTGTTCTTCTGTTAGTGTTATAATTTCATTTAGTTTATTTGTTATCATTTCGGTTGTTAATTTTATTGTTGTGTTTAATAAATGATTTCCTCTGTAATTTTCCGGATCCGATTTGTCTTTCTTTTTGAAGACAGGTTACTTGATCTCATTCTTGAGATATTCTGATTTGTTCGTCTGTTTTTAAACCAGGAGGAGTAATTCAAATTTTCCGCGCCATAATGCTTGTTTGTAATTGGTCGAAGCGCAGGCAAGTTTACTCAACTAAATTATGACATATTGACACTAATGACATTTGTGAAATTTTAAAATTCAAAATTTATATCGACAATTTTTGTATTTTCTGTGTTATTTCTTACATCTTTAGATTTTTCGTTTGCATTTATATAAAAAACAGTTCTTTTCAGAACTATTTAGCGACATATTAGTGTTATTAAGATAACAATATGGATTCAATGCCAAGTACTAGTGGTAATTATTCTTCTCCACCTTAAAAAACGCCGAGTAGATTTGGATCATTTATCATCAAATGAGAAATAATGTACTATAAACATGTACAAACATGAAAATTGATAATTCTGGAATAAAAATAACAGCCACGGTAGTAAAAATAAAACAGGCAGCAGGTTAGTTTTACAGAATAGTTATTATTAAAATCAAGACTTACTAAAGTAATGTGCTAATTTTAGGTGTTGCGAATTCAACTATTTACAACAATAGAATTTAGAACAATTAAAGAATATAAGCAGACTGGAGCAGTAAAATGTCCTAAAAATATTGAAGGTCGACCTTATATTCTTGCAACATAGGATGAAAAAGTTATAGAAACATCTATACGACAGATAGTACACAGCTTCTTTTTCAAGAATGAAATGCTCACTTTAGGTAAAATTTTAAGTGAAATTAACAACCGCTCAGATCTTCCAAAATATGTGTCGTTCATTATTATATAAATTCTTGAAGCAAATCAATTTGAAGTAAGTACAAATATCGGTATGTAAATATGGGTTAGCTACAATTATATAGTAAAATTAACTAAAACATTTTATAGATTTCATTTTTATAATCAGGTATATTATTGTTACTATTAAATATTAAGTTTAAGTTTTTATTTGTATACTCTACTGGAATGTTGTCAAGTATTTTGGTTCAACAGATATAAGAACATGGAAAGGGAAGAAAAGGAAAAAAAAAGGATATTTTTACTTTACATATGCAGATTCAATGCAGCAAATATTACATAGCATAACTATAGATTGTTTATCTTACTTTATAGGATGATTGATTTATTGTGTATATTATGAATGTCTTACCATAGTTATTTTTTAGGGGAAATTATTCAAAGAATAGTTTATACATTGGGCTGCTGACCAAAAACAAAACTTTCTTGCTCAAATATCTGAAATAGATTCAGTTTTTGCTGAAAAAATAAATCAAGAAATTCAAAATGGTGTAGTTGTTCATTAATCTCACCAAGACATAAATGGAGAGATTTTGGAAGACTAATAAAATTATTAAATTTTTATTTTTACATTCATTCCGAATATATATTATGCACAGAATATTATATAAATCGATTTCTGACTCTTTAAGTTGTTTTTGTAATAACTTGGACTTGGTGATACGCGATAATAGTATTTAATGTGATATTTTTCTAGCTGATATATACCTATAATAAATAGAGTTTACAGTGTTTATAAATTTATAAATGTATGATATGTATATCTAATTATCATACGAAAAACGGCAACTATCTTTTAAATTGTGTTTATACTTGTTAAGAAGCATTTTCATTTTGTTTTATCACAATAAAAGAACATTAGTAATGTTGTGTTTTACTTTGATTGTATTGATACAGTTGGTTTTGTTCTTCCTGTTGTAGATCATCACAAGAAAACTACAAAATTATACTAGAATGTAACATAATAGATTGAATTAGTTGATTATCTCACAGAAATCCAGTATTTTTTAGTAAATTTTATTTATTGATAACAAATGGGACAAACTCACTGTCAAAATTAAACAAGAATCCAGCATTAAAGAAATTGCAAGTACACACTTATTTATACAAATTTATTGTTTTGCATTTTAGTGCTTCAAATAGATCCTTAAGATATTGATACATAAGTTAAATCTATCTAATGAGGTAACTGATTACCATGCATGAAAAGTAGGACCACACCTATATTTGAACCATAATTTATTCTGTGATATGAAACATGAAAAAGTAAATTCTAAAGCAGTAAATGGGAAGGAATATGTAAAACAAACTGGCTGAAGCAATTCAGGAGATTGGATTATTAAGCTTAAAAATAATGATCAAAGTCAAAGTTAATTCTTCTGGTAAGAAAAAAACCTAGATTTAAGAAATTAATCACACCAGAATAAGAATATGGTCTACGCAGTTTAAAAGAACAGTATTTCAGAAATCTTTGAACTCTCTCTAACTTTTTGATACATGCATTTGCATAGCTTTGTTGCATATAAATCTATTTGCAAATTAACAAGACAAAATTTGACTCTGGATCAAAATATTCTCTAAATTAAGTACCATCGACTCAAAAGATCTATAAAACTGGATCACCCGATATTTAAATATATATACGTGGGACCAAATGTGAAAAACGTCCATTTTTATTGTAATAATTGTAATATATGTTGGAAGTGAATTAAAAAATATATTATTAAAACATAAAGTTAGGTTAGAATTGACGTGTAAGGTTGTCCGATATTGATTACTCGATTACCGCAAGGCCGAGATATACAACAAAAAAAGAAGATGTATTTGGTGACTTTTCTAGTAACTTTTTTGAGTGTGAATCTGTCTTTTTGGTTTACTCCTCCTGGTTAGAAAACAGAGTTATAGTATTTTTTGGATTAGTTTAGTTGTTTAGTCAGATCTGGTCCTCCATATTTTTTTTTGTTCCCTAGAAGTCGTGTTCCATCTGTTTTGAGAATATCTGTCAGTGTTTTCTTTTATTTGTCTAACTAAAGTATTTGATTCATTTCTGATTTGTTTATAGTGGTCATATGTCTGTTGTGTTTGTTACGTCCTGTATTTTAAAAGGGCCTTCTTCTTTTCTTCACATTTTGTCTTCGCTCTTCCTTTAAACCATGGGGTTTCCTTTTTGATGTTAGTGTTCGTTACTTTCTTCTCTACGAATGATTCTGTTGCTGCGTTAATTATATTATTTTTGAGTTTTTTGTAGCTTTCCTCGGTTATACCGTTTTCTAATATTTCATTCACAGCAATCTTCTCCGATATATTTTGTCTGTATAAGTATTCCTTAAGTTCCTTATTTGGTCCTTCGACTCTCAATTTTGTTTGTGTTGACGCTGTTTTCTTGGTTTGAAGTATTTCATGACGATTCTTACTTTACATAATAGTAAGCTATGGTCGCTACCTAAATGTGCTGAGTTGAGGCATCTTACATCGATTATTTCTGATGGATGTATATCACTGTTGGTTATAACATAATCTATCTTAGATCTTTGTTGGTTGGTCTTTGTGGTCAAATAAAAAAAATCATTGTTTGTGCAGAACTTTGTCATGAGTTCTCCATTTTCTTTTTTAATATTCTCGTTACGTTTTTGTTTAATTTCGAGTATTACTTGATTGCCTATTCGAGAATTAATATACCCACATATGATCATCTTATGTCAAAATGTTCAGGCCTAAATAATTTATTGGAACTAATATATTAACCATGTACCATGTACACGTATTATGAGTTTTGATACAATTAAAATCTAATCTATTAATTGACTCTTATAAGCAATGATAAGATAAAAACAATAATTTAAATAAACAAATATATATTCATAGTCCAAGTCTGTATTTACCTTTAAACAAATCCAAATTTATATCTCCTAGGTTGACGATACTAGTACCGAATCTTGCTCCTCTTTTTTTGCTGCCATAGAGTATTGTACTATGGATTGTTGCATAAATCTGAAATAACACGTAATTAGATAGTTGCTATAACTATTTTGTGGTACTAATTACCACATTACATGAAAGATCCATAGCGATGCGCCCTAGTCAATTAATCATGGCAATGCTCAATATTAAAATAAATTCCGGAGTAATTCCTTCGATCTGGTCTGCGCAGAGGACAGTTTTCAGTTTACCAATAGATATTAAATTGGAGTGCAGAAAGAACATCAAGATCTGCATATGGAATGCCAAAACCTTACAAAAAGCAGGAATAATCCAGAATGCAATACATGAGATGAAAATATTACATATTGAAATCATGGAAATAGCAGAAATGAGATGGCTAGATTCAGGCGAAATATAAGTGGAATATCACAAGGTATACTATGAAGTCGGAGTAATCGTATTAACCAAGGTTGCCAAATGCGTTACTAACTTTACACCAATATCAGAGTGAGTGATGTTACTACAAGTATAAGCTAACCCTATTAATATAAACATCTTCCAAGTCTATGCTTTTACTGCAGACAAAGAGGAGGATAAAGTAAATGAGTATTATCAAAAAATCAACAGAATAATACAGAAAATTCCATGAGAGGAAATTTTTATCATTATGGGAGATTCTAACACCAAGCTTGGAGCTGGAGGCAATATATCGTAGCCCATGGACTTCGGAAATCGTTCTCAAAATACAAACAGTAAATTAAACAAATTTGTCAGACAAGTCAGAAACGAGAGAGAAGACAGACTTGAAAACGGACCACATTCCACTGGTGGGTATTACCTAATTGCTCATTCGAGCCGTAAAATCTCGCAATATTATTATTTTTCCTCTGACTTACTTTTCTCTGATCTACTGCTTGTTATAATTCGTCATAAAACCGAAATTGGTTTCCTTTGTTGTTCGAAGCTTGTCAATTTCTGGGCCGTATGTTCCGATGATGTTTAGATCTTCCTTCTTCATTTTTTTTATGGTGTTGAATCGTGGATCTTGAACGAAGATATGTGCAAAATATTGGAAGCATTTAAAAAGTGGCTATTTTGAAGAATACTAAGATAGCGTGGACTGAACGAGTCACAAATGAGGAGGTCCTTAGTAGAATAAAGATGAACTAAAAAGTACCCCCCATCAAATCTCGAAAGCCACAATACTTTTGACACATTATGAAAAATGAATCCAGATATTCAAGACCTACAGGCCTTAATTAGGCCTAAATTAATAAAATGTTAAATCAAAAACTACACAAGAAAGCCCTAAAATTAGTATTTCCACCACCAGAGAAAAAACCCAGTACCTTCTGCTCGATTACATATACAGGTAAAATAACAACAAAAATTGCCAAACACATAAAAAAGAAAGGAATAACACCAGCTTTCGGAACAAATAACAACCTAGGCAAATATATTAAAAATAACAAGAGCCAAAATAAAAAACACTTAAATAGTGGTGTGTACAAACTTCAATGTGGCGACTGCCCAAAAACTTACATCGGTCAAACTGGTAGAAACTTTGATAAACGAATAGCAGAACATAAAAGGGCTTTCAAGAATAGAAAAACAGATTCGACATACGCACTTCACCTTCTAGATCATAATCATTCTTTTAATGACAAATTTAAAATTCTTCACATTCAAAATAAAGGCCTTAAGCTATCTGTTTTGATTTGTTCTTTTTCTTAGATATGATTTCTTAGATTTATCTATTTGTAAATGTGAGAATTCTTAGATTAAAATTATACTAAAATGAACTTCAAGATCTGACTTTTTTATTTTTGTTGACACACACATATATGATACATAATTAAATAGTTACTATTAGCAACCTTCATTTCCCCTTTTTAATGATTATTCAGCCACTATCTTGAACATGCCCCCCACCTTGAAAGGATCGCTTTCAATTTAACAGGTAAGCAAGTAAATGAGGAAATGCATTACATGCAATAAAATGAACAAATACATCTTCAATAATTATTATAAACCTTTAAGTTTAAAAATTAAACAAATGTTCTTTAACTAAGACGCATTAACGGTTCTATAACTTAAGGCGTGATTGCACCTTCACTTTGATCACTAGGAACCGGAAGTGGACAAATGTTTGTAACAGCTCGCTTTATAAGTCCTTTTGAAGTTCTTATGGTAACCACTCGTGTAACTCCATCAGCGCCGGGATGCAAAGCTTCTACGCGCCCAAGACACCAGTTTAAAGGAGGTAAATTTCTTTCTTTGATGAGGACGAGTGTGTCAGTCTGAATTTTAGCTTGGTTGACTTTCCGTTTCTTCCGTTCTTGCAATTCGGAGATGTATTCCAGAGACCAACGTTTCCAAAAATGATGGCGAAGTTGCTGCAACTGCTGGAATCTAGACAAACTGGTAATGGATGAGTTTGATAGATTTATTTCAGGAACGGAATCCATGGCTCTTCCTATGAGGAAGTGAGCTGGTGTCAAAGGCAAAAGATCAGAAGGGTCAGAAGACAAAGCACTCAAAGGACGAGAATTTAATACTCCTTCAATCTGAGTTAGTAATATAACAAATCTTTCATAATCTAATTTCGTATCTGTCATAACTCGTTTGAGGTTAGTCTTCACCGATTTGATTCCAGCCTCCCAGAGACCGCCAAAATGAGGAGAATGAGCCGGTATGAACTTCCAATTTATATCAGATTTAGCACACATATCAGGGAATTTATTAAAATTGGTTTTCAAAAATTTACCCAATTCCAACAAAGAATTGTTGGCACCCACAAATGTGGTTCCATTATCACTCATCATCTGACATGGTTTGCCCCTTCTAGCTATAAATCGTTTTATTGCCGCCATAAAGGCTTCGGTGGAAAGATCCGTTACCACCTCTAAATGAATGGCCTTTGTCGATAGGCAAACAAATAAACTAATATAACCTTTATATGAAGAAGCGCCCCTATGACGACTAGTTCTGAGGGCAAATGGACCGGCATAATCAACTCCTGTAACAGCAAATGGAAATGAGGGGGTGACTCTTGATTGGGGAAGATCTCCCATGATGGGATTAACTTGATCGGGATTGAAGCGAAAGCAACGCAAGCATTCGCGAACCGTTCTCTTAGCCAATGATTTTCCATGTAAAGGCCAATATTTCTCACGCACGTGAGCTAGGAGATGTTGAGGTCCTGCATGGCACAGCTTGATATGCTCTTGACGGAAAAACAGAATAGTAAACTTATGATTAGATTGAATTAGAATAGGATGTTTCTTTTGATAAGAAAAGTTTGAATTACTTAATCTACCACCGACCCTGAGTAATCCTTCTGAATCTAAAAAGGGATTAAGTGATAAGATTCTGCTTTTAGAAGAAACTGCATTACCTCTTCTTAAGCACTGAATCTCAGATGGGAAACCTTCAGCTTGTACCAACTTAACTAGAGTAAGGGTAGAATTGTTAATCTCCTGCGTGGTTAAATGCCCCAAAACACGAGTGGCTTTGTTCTTTCGTTGAGAATTGTAGTAGAAACGCAAAGAGTAAGCCACTGACCTTACCAAGGTTGAAAAACTCGAATATTTTTCAAAATCAAATAATGGAGTAGACGAAACTATCATAAATTGGTTGCTAATAGTTTTAAACTCTGGAAGTTTTTCTTTATCAAAAGATACTTGAACTGGCCAAGTTTCAGGAGAATCTAGCAAGAATGATGGGCCGTGCCACCAAAATGAACAAGAGCTTAGAACCTGAGGTTCAATTCCTCGAGAGAGTAAATCAGCAGGGTTACAATCCGTAGGTACATGTCTCCAATTTTCGGGATCTGTGTTGGACTGAATTTCTGAAACACGATTACCAACGAAAGTTTTTAGTACATGTGACGAAGTTTTTATCCAGCCCAAGGTTATGGTTGAGTCAGACCACAGAAAAATCTTATTGAACTGAATATTCAAAGAAGTAATAACCATTTTAGAAAGACGTGATAAGATCAAAGCTCCGCTAAGTTCAAGGCGAGGTACGCTCAGTTTCTTTACAGGTGCTACTTTGCTTTTAGCACAAAGTAAATTTATAAAAATGTTACCCTTTTTATCAACACTGCGAATATATATGGCCGCGCCATAAGCAACTTCGCTTGCGTCACAGAATCCGTGCATTTCAATAAGAACAGAATTAGGGAGAACTACATTTCTTTGAATTTGCAATTTATTCAACTCGTGCAACTGATCTCTGAAAGATAACCACTCAGACTGAATATGCAATGGCACTCCTTCATCCCAGTCTAACTTCTCTAACCAAAGGAGTTGCATAAGGATTTTGACTTTAATGATTGATGGACTTAAGAGACCTAAAGGGTCGAATATTTGAGCGATACCAGAAAGTATTGATCTTTTAGTGATAATTTTGGGAGTAACATTTGAATCAATAGAATAGGACAATGAATCTAATTTAGGGCACCATTGTAACCCAAGTGTCTTTGTGTTTTCATTGGCACCAAAAAGGAAGGGAGTGTCTAATGAAATAGATTCCTGGATGGACTTAAGAAATAAAGAATTGTTTGACGTCCACTTTCTAAGTGGGAAACAACCTTTTGAAAGAATTTCAGAGACTTGTTTACAATTAAGGATTAAGTCCTCTAACGAATCAGAACCAGTTAACAAGTCGTCAACATAGAAGTCTTCAGCTATGATTTTAGAAGCTTGAGGGAATGTATCAGAATGCTCTAATGATAGCTGATAGAGACATCTAGTGGCTAGATAACTACTTGACGTAGAGCCATAAGTAACTGTATTTAATTCATATGAATGAAGAGGATCTTTTGGATGATTTCTCCATAAGATTCTTTGGAGACACCTTTGAGTATCATCAATAAGAATTTGGCGGTACATTTTGGCAATGTCCGCAGATGCAACAAATGGATACCTTCTAAATCTCAACAGGATAGATATCAAATCATTCTGCATGACGGGACCTACCATCTGAAGATCGTTGAGCGAATGACCAGATGATGACGGACAGGAACCATCGAACACTACTCTGAGTTTTGTAGTGAGACTGTCCTGCTTCATCACCCCGTGATGAGGAAAGTAATAACTATGTATTGGCAAAGTACAATCAGTAACTCTTGACATGTGGCCTAAAGCCAAGTATTCCTGCATAAATGCAACATACTGCTCCTTCATGATAGGATCATTAAGAAGCCTTTTTTCTAATCTATAGAACCTTCTTTGAGCTATTGATCTGGATTCTCCCAAAGAGTCAACCTGTGACTTAAAAGGAATGGACACAATGAACCGACCATCCAAATTTCTCCTAAAGGTTGATTTGAAGTGCTCCTCGCACAATAACTCTTCTGGAGACTGAAGTTTAGTACCTGAGCACTCCTCAATCTCCCAAAACCTAGAAAGGCCGTCAGTTTCGATATTGTGTGATAATCCACATATGGTAGATTGCTGACTATTCACCTTGGTATTTATTAAAGGACCAGAAATGATCCACCCTAATCTAGTTTTCTGAAGTATGGGTTTTTCAGGTCCTAACTTGACCTGACCCACACATAGCAGGTCCCAAAAAATACTAGCACTGATCAGAATATTTACTTCCGAAGGAGTATGAAAATTTGGGTCTGATAAACGAATATTTGCAGGTATGGGCAACGAAGATGCATCAATTTTACAAACTGGAAGTTGTCCACATATTTGTGGAATGATTAAACACTCTAGGGGGAAAGAATATATAGATTGTAAAGAGTTAATAACAATATTGCATTTGTGATTTATTTTAGAAGAAACATGAGCGATACCCACTACAGAAATGTTAACCTGCTTCCTTGAAATACCCAGCAAATCAACTAAACTTGATGTGATAAAATTAGATTGAGCTCCACTATCTAAAAGAGCTCTACAATTATGAGCAACCCCTAAATGGTCACGAACTTGGACAACAACTGTTGATAGAAGGATTTGTTGATTTTGAGAAGTATTAGAAAGTGTCTGAGGACTACTCTGAGAAGCAACTACTTGATCATTGACCTGAGACAATGGATTTAGTGGATTTTCAATAAATTCATGGAGAAGAGTATGATGTTTCTGGTTACATTTCTTACATTCGCCATATTTGCACGTAGCTTGTTGATGTCCAGAATGCAGACAGTTCAAGCATAATTTAAATCTACGTACTTTATTGATACGGGCAGGAATGTCTAATGAATGAAATTGACTACAGTGAACCAGTTTGTGTTGCTGGTTGCATGAAGAACAAGAAAGAAAAGAAGATTTTGTGCTTACAAGAGCCTTGGTACTGTTGTGTCTAAATTTGACATGATTATTGACAGAAGTACCTTGAATATTGGGTTTATTTAGATTATATCTTTCTAGAGTATCTGCCTTCGTTTTTAGGAAATATATGATGTCCGAAACTTGACTGACTTTACCATTGTTGGCCTTCTCCCATTCTTTCACAGATTCAGAATCTAATTTTTCCAAAAGAATATATTTGAGAAGGGCATCCCAATGTTCGACTGGTTGTTCTAATGCCTCCAAAGCTCTAAGATTGCTACAAAATTTATCAATTAAATTTCTGATTGAAAATGAACCTTCTTTATTGATTGCTTTTAAATTGAATATGGCTTTAATATGGTTATGCAACAACAATTCCTTGTTAGAATATCTCTCAACCAAAAGATTCCATGTAACAGTAAAATTAGAAGCAGAGAGAGGTATAGAAGCAATAACTCTCTCAGCAGAACCTGTTATGCATGCTCTTAAATAATGTAATTTTTGTATTTCAGATATACTATTATTTTTTATAACTAACGAATCAAATAAGTCATGAAAATCTAACCATTCTTCTACGTTGCCACTGAATTTTGGCAATTCAATAGAAGGAAGTTTTATATTGGAGGTTGTATTTGTATGATTGGATGCAAAATGTTCACTAGTAGGACTAGATGTACTGGAGGCACTAGCTGAGGTTGTTGTCAACAGTTGTTTTGCTTTAATTATAACTGAATAAAATGATGTTTCGAACGTTTCTCTGTAATTTATTTCTTCCTCAGTTATTGCGTCCAGTAAACTTTCTATTTTTAATTGGGTTTCTTGATATTGAGTATAAATACTATTTGCGTTTTTGATGCGCAATTCAATTTCAGCGCGAGTTGGCTCATTCATCTCACCTTGGGTTGAGTCCCTATCAATGAATTTAATAAATGAGGTTAATCGCGCTTTAAGAGATGCTCTTATCTTTTTTAACGTAGGCAAATCCCCATTTTAATTCAAATTTAAATGTTTTAACTATTATGTGTCAAAGTAAACTAACAATGAACAATAAATTTCAAGATTGAAAAAGTATAAGTTAGGAAATTGAAATTAAAGGCAGATAAGTAAGGAACAAAAGCTCACTTCCCTGATTTTTGATGATTCGATGTCCCGTCCAGTGAAATCGTCAGTATGTGTTCAATCGGATTGTATACTTGACTTGAAGCCTGGGGCAAAGGAGCACTCGATGTATTTCTGCGACTGTCTCGTTCAACGTTGTCGGCAAACGTGGATCTTATAGGTTGTATGGCGTGGAATAGCACAAATATCCGAAGCTCTAAGGACCAATGTTTTGATTTTTTCTTTTTCTTAGATATGATTTCTTAGATTTATCTATTTGTAAATGTGAGAATTCTTAGATTAAAATTATACTAAAATGAACTTCAAGATCTGACTTTTTTATTTTTGTTGACACACACATATATGATACATAATTAATAATAGTTACTATTAGCAACCTTCATTTCCCCTTTTTAATGATTATTCAGCCACTATCTTGAACACTATCTTTGTTAGAATCTATGGAAATCAACAAATTAAAAAACACAGATATAATTCTGAATGACCAACTTGAGACAAACAGTTCTCCCCTCCTCAACCTATTTCATTAGAGACTATAAATTTGTAAACCCAAGCCAAAAATAGATCACTTGAGAAAGGCAATCAGCCGAAACAGCTGTAGTGATAATATTTAAACTAAATTTTGTGGAAGATTGAAAACAAAGTTTTCAGTGTTTTATTGTTACATAAAACGAATTTCCATCAAGTAACTGTCGAATCCATCAATTATATATCGAACAATAAGGCTAAAGTGGTATGGACATGAATGAGGAAAAGAGGACGACCCCGAAGATCCTGGGGGAACGAAGTAGACGACGCCATGAGTAAGAGAGGCCTAAACGATGGAGAATGATACAACAGAGAGAGATGGAAACGGTTGAGCGATGGAAGGCAGTGAATACTGTAGAATCCCTGAAGTGCTATATTTGGTCTGTACTTTTCCATGGAGCAGAAGTGTGGACACTACAAGTATAAAATATGAACAGAATTGAAGCATTGAAAATGTGGATTTATAGACGGATGCTAAAGATACCTTGGACAGCAAAAAAACTAATGAGGAAGTACTAAAGAGGGTCAATAAAGATAGAGAATTGCTAAAGACTGTTTAATACCGGAAAACATCTTATCTGGGACATATGGTGAGAGGAAATCAATTAAGAATATTACAACTGATCCTTATAGGTAAAATAGAAGGCCGTGGAAGTGTAGGAAGAAAACGTGTTTTCGTTAAAAACATTTATAAATCAAGTGAGATATTAAATGCAGGAGAATTATTCCATGTAGCAGAAGATCGAGAAGCCTTGGGAATGGTACTTGCCAACGTCGGATAACTCTGACATGGCACGTGGAGAAGAAGAAAACCCCATTAAAGTTATTGTGGAAGACGTTATTGTGGTTGACAAATAGTGAGAGAAACGTGTGCAACGTCAATCTAAACATCTTTAAACTGTTGTAGGAGAAGGGTGAACCCATATATAAGAAGAAACCTTTTTCTTACAATTAAATATATTATACCACTCTTCTAATGTTATTTGTTTTATAATCTAAGTTGTTATTTGTTTTAGAAATTTTTGTTAAAGAATTAGGGTATAAAAATTAACTAAACTTTTTTAGTGTATTCCAAACTTTTACGAAGCAGGTACAGATTAAAATATTTATTCGTTCACTTTAACAAAATCGAATAATTTTACTTACATCGCTGTAAAAGAATACGCATCCTTCATCGAATGTACTACCTGCAGTCATCGGTGCACCAATAAACAACTCATCTGAAGTATCGTTATTAAGGTCAACAGCTAAAAATGATGAACCGAAATAAGCGCCCAGAGTATCACCCGAAAACTTTTTTTCTACTCTTCTGTTGATGATAGCTAGGACCTGTAATGAAAAGAAAGTAATAAGATTTAGCGATCCGCAGGATCGCAAATAAAACAAGCACACCAGTTAGTATATGTGATGAAAGTATTGACTTGATTTGGGTACCGTCCGTCAATTTTCACCTACATATGTAACCAGGTCTTCTCGCCAGTGTTCATTCCTCTATTGGTGGCTGATATGATTCACTAATAATTTGGATATGTTGCAGTAAATTACGAATTTTGGCGTGATTGGTGTAAAGTGATATGGCATATTTTAGGTTGGTACTCCTAGGTCATTGTGGATGGTTGCATTGCTCACATACCAAGAGGCGTTTGCTTTTGTGTGCAATGTTTTTTATTGGAAAATCTGCAAATTTTTTGTGTTTGAAGGCTTACTACAGATACAGAGTTCTACGCCAAAATTCATATTGGTTTTAGTATGACTTTGTAAAGCAGTATTTTGTTCTCCAATTATAGTTGTGACTTTCTGCCAAGTAATCAATTCATTGTTTTTTCAATTTTATTTTGAGCTGAATTTTTTGGCGTTAATGTGTTGCTTTCAGGTGAGCTTGTGAAACTTACGGCAGAGAAAACCGAAGCCATCATCTGAAGGAGAAAAGAAACAGGCAAAGTGTTGAATTACAATGTGCGGAAGCATGTCTAACACCCAAGAAAGAAGTAAAGTACCTAGGAGTGACATTGCATCAGAATGGAAATGGTAAGAGCACGTGCGGGGGGTAGTCAGAAGGCTGCGAATAGTGCGGCTGCGTTGGGGAGGATAATGCCCAATATTGGGAGACCAAATTTTGAAAGGAGGAAGGTCTTACACGGTGTTGTACAGTCGATCGTCCTTACGTGGCACAAATCTGCAGCGAGTTGGTAGAGATAACTGCTTATAGGAGTTTTTTTCCTAGAATGTTTACACAGGGTGGACAAAAAAAATAATGGCCACATTAATGAACCAATGTTATAGTAGGTGGCGCCACTTAGTGTCAATGGTAAAACTAATATCATTTTGCCTAAGTAATTTGAACTCAAACGCTTTATTTTGATGTCAACTATCACGCATTAGCTAATGTCCAATTATTGATGGGACATCCTTTATACAACCAATAACATGTTTTTATCGGTTGTTACATTAGCTTACGTTTTTGCTCATAATTGTTAACTTAAAAGCAATACAATTGATCAAATTTCTTACCTCGCCTATACAGTTTTCAGCTCTGGGTGCTCCACCAATAATGAATTCGTCTTGTTGATATTTGGCATAACCAACTTTGTAACCTAAAATAAATATTACACTCGGTACAATATTTCCTTATAGAGGGTGATTGATTAGTGTGAGGAAGCTCATTAGACTGTTATAGTGAAAATTACAAGAAAAAGTTATTGACAAAAATTGTAGCCAGCTTTAAACTCCACATTTTAAAATTACTTACAATCTTACAGGGTGTTCCATAAGATGGTGACAGACCAAACTTATGTTTTTTTAAACAGAGCACCCTTTATTTTATTTTAAATTTGAAATCTGCGAAAGTATACGAACATTCATCTATTGCAACCAGGTAATATTGGTTATAACTTTTTAAATACCCGGTATACCATTAGATTTCCAATGTATTCATCGGTGATATTACCCCTATTCACATTCGGACTATGTTTTTAATCTGTACTATGTTTTCAACCTTGCTAATTACGAATTTGATATAAAAATTGAAAAATCAAAAATGACCGATCCAATATGGCGGACCAAATATTTCGGATTATTTGGAGGTAAATATACTTTATCTAATTTACTTACTGTTGCACGTCATCCGCGTCATAACCCGTGAGGTCACATGATACCAACACGAAATATTTAGGCGGTAGGTGTGTTCTTTTTTAGAATTACTTTGCCGAGTATCACAATACCGAGTAACGTTATTTTAAAGAAATGCACAATAATATGTTTCATTTAATTTATATAAATACATTATAAAGCGTTTTTATGAAGAACATTTGTTCGGAAAAAACTGTAACTGTAATCGAACGAAGGGGATATTTTGGCATAAATTGGTAACACTTATTTGACAGTTGCGTTGTTGACACTTTCTGTATTTTATTATTTTGAATTTTAAAGTGAATGCCCCTTGTTTTATATTTTTATCTATTTAATAAAATCTGTTCTTTTTAGAACGAAATTAGTGTGTATCATTAATTATTATTCCAGATTTAGCGATATGGCTCACACTCCCTCTAAGAGGAAAATTCACTCATCCCAGATACCTACGGTATCAAAAGGATTGAGCTCTGGTGGGACTCTTTCCATGTTATCGAGCCCTAGGTAACTTGGTATGTTGGAGTATCTTCCAAAAATTTTCGTACACATCTGGACGTCGCGAGGAGTACAGCCTTCTGCATGGCCTTATAGAGATGTTCATTTAGACCCAGCTGTTTTATGTTTTTAGGAGGTTTTTAAGAATAACACCACTAGTAGATAAAATAATAGGTACTATCTGGGTAGTTTCCATTCTCCATTTTCTCCTGATTTGTATTTCTAGATCTCTGTACTTGGCGATCTTTTCGTTGTATTTAACATGTAAATTATTGGTGTTGGGTATCGCCACATCAATAAGTGTTGTTTGCCTAGTAAGTTTATTAACTAGTATGAGATCCAGTCTAGACCACTGCTTGGTCTGTGAGCACACTACGGTCCCAGTATAGCTTTTAGTTGTCATTTTCAAGCATTCTGTCAGGGACGTAGTGATAAAGGAAGATGGTCGGTTTGGAGAAGTCCCAGTTTGTCAGCTAGTTCTTATTATTAGTGTGTGTAATATTAATTTGTTTTGTTGTATAATCCACTTTTGTAATAATTATGTGATCTATTTGATCTAAAATGGATTCAGGATTTTTTTATACTTAGCAATTATGTCAACTTCGATCTCTGTCAATGACAATGACGTGCAACGGTGAGTAAATTAGATGAAGTATAGGTCTGTCTGATTACGAATTTGATGTCAAGGTTAAAAAATTCAAAATGGCAAATTTAGTATTGCGGACTATATTTAATTTAATACAATTTGAATTAGTTGGACATAAATTGGTACAGAAAGATTTTTGACTTCGCTGATCTTCGCTGAAACGGCAGATCCTAAATGAAGAACGAAATTTATAAAAATCTAGAATAACTAGACATAACAGTGTGTTATAAGGCTTTTGACTTTTTTGAATACACATTTAATATTAAAGGGAAGTGAAAATTTTAATATGCTGGATCCAAAATGTTTCAATTGTAATTTCAAGTCAATTGTAATGTTGTCTATGCGTTTCTTCCGGTTTATTTTCAAAATCGGTAATCTTCCACCAGAGTATTCATCTTCGTAGGAATCTGTGGCTCCACAAGCATTCTATTCTGAATCATAATCAGTGTCTGAATTAATGGGAAGGGAGACTAAGCCAGCTTTCGCTTCTGATAATAAGCTTTTTCTGATACTTCTCCTATTGGAAATAGTCTTAGAGTAAAGAATTTTACACATTGACGTGTAAAATTCCCTACTCTAAGGTAATAATGCTGCTGCAATTATATCTGATCCATGTATCAGTAATCAGTGTACTTTAATAAGTATATTGTACCAGAGATATAGTTACACAAAGGACCTGCTGTTTATTTAGAATACTTCCGAAATTTTCATATATCAATATCTTTACCACTCGAAATTCTTGGTAAAAGAATATGAAAACGATGGATCAGTTCTTCATCGGTTACTGTTATACAAGCTGATATGTAATATACAAGATGATAAATAAACAATGGACTAAAACAGGGAGATGCACTTTCACCACAACTCTTCAACTTAGCTCTGGAGCACATAATCAGAAGTGCAAGAAGTTTGGGACAAAGTTAGTTCCTTTTTTATAAATTGATATAATTGGTTTCAAATGAGTGTAGAGTAATAAATCATGAAGTGTCATAAAATTTGCCTGAATTTCGGTGTCGTCATGGGCGTAGGCAAATGGACGGATGTCAACTTTGTCGTCAAAAATTGATGTACCTCAAAATATCATATTTTGGATATTTTGTGATAACCAATTTTATTTAATTTTTCGATTAACTTATTCTTCAAACTCGTATTCCATTATATGGTCATTAAAGCTTAATACATTTTTTTTATAAAAACAAATTCACTTCCTTACTGAACGAATAAAAGCATTAGAAGAAACTGATAAGGGTATGACGCACCTCCTAATATTACTAAGAACTAAAATAAATCAACATGAAGACTAATAACGCGTAATGAGGTTTTACTTACACTTTCATTATAATCCCTCTTTTATTTTATTATTATCATTCGACATTCGACATTCGAGTTAGTAATTGTTACTACACCAATTAAACGTACAGTAATATTGTGATATAGAAATAGTGAAAAAGTTATAAAATGGCGACATTTACTCCAAAGAAAAGAGGTGTAAAAAATTCTCCGCTATCTGTTAGTGAAAAAGTTATAATTTTAAATGTATATGATTGCATAAAACACGATCACCCTAGTTTGTCTGTGCAAGAAAGTGTTGAGCGATGTGCCCGAATGACTAGAATTGGACAGTCCACGATTTTTAAATTATTGCGAGAAAGAAAGATATCAGGCCAGTTAAGTCCATGCAAGAGAAAATCAGGAAGACCAATAAAAATCTTAGGTGAAGACACCAAACGTGACATTCGAAGAAAAGTTCATTCGTTTTATTTTAAAAAGGAAATACCCACCCTTGACAAAATACTAATGGAGATAAGCCAAGATAACGATATTCCTTTGATATCCAGAAAACTTTTATGGAAAACTTTAAAAAGTATGAATTTTTCCTGGGAAAAGCACAATCGAAAGGCACTATTACTATTACTGGAAAGTGATGAAATCATTTGCTGGAGACGAAAATATTTGAGAACTATAAAACAGTACCGCAGAGAGCACAAGAAAATTTTTTATCTTGAGGAGACGTGGATAAACGAAGGTTATATAGTCCAAAAAATGTGGCAAGATAAAAATGTAACAAGTGCTCGCCAAGCTTTCATAGAAGGCCTTTCGACGGGTATTAAAGTGCCTTCGGGAAAAGGGAAGAGGCTTATAATTGCTCACATTGGAAGCGAAGAAGGATTTTTAAAAGAAGGTTTGTTAAGCTTTGAGTCGTGTCGGACGGGAGATTATCATGAGGACATGAATTCGGATGTCTTCGAAGACTACTTCGGGGAAATGTTAAAATTCTTCCAGCTGATTCGGTCGTGGTTATGGATAATGCAAGCTACCATTCAAGGCGCATAGAGAAGGTACCAACTTCAGCTTGGAGAAAGCAAGAAATTATTAACTGGCTGTCAAATAAAGGTATTCAGTTTGAGACGAATTCAATAAAGAAGGAACTACTAGCCGTAGTAAAACAACATAAATCTCGCTTCATAAAATATGCCGTAGAAGATGTAGCAGAAAAGTATAAAGTAACTGTGCTACGCCTACCGCCATATCATTGCGAATTAAATCCCATAGAACTTATATGGGCACAAGTTAAAGGATATGTTGCAAGGCACAATACCACATTTAAAATGAAAGATGTCAAGGTATTGTTTGATCAAGCCATTATGGAAATCACATCAGAAAACTGGCAAAAAGCAATCCAGCATGTTTTAAAAGAGGAAGATAAAATGTGGGAACTGGACAACGTGGTCGATCAGGTGGTTGACCCTATAATTATAACACCAGGGGATAATGACAGTTCTTCGGATGAAGACTATAGTGATGTAGAATTGTAATAACGTATCCAGTAAAGTTTTTGTAGTTTTTGTGAATAAATTGATTTAAACTCCCCACAAGTGTTTCAATATGTAAAGTTCATTCGTGTGTGTTTGTGAGTATTTCCCGATTTCGGTTCGTATATATTTTATTGTTACATTTTATATTTTTTTAATAACACTGTTCTGCTGTATTACATTTTTATTTCCTTTAATATGATTTTTAAGAATGCATATTCTTTTGTCAATTAACCCACTAGCGCGCCTCTGGCTCAGTGTTTATCTGTCGATAACAATGGACTAATCCCTTAAAACAGGGTGATACCTACCTGCTCTTTATGAGACGACAGAATTTTGCAATGCGGACGGAATTTATTGACGGATTATTGACGGATTACCCTGTAGCGCTTTTGAATACTTCATGAGATTTTATTACTCTACACTCATTAGAAATAGATTATAACAGCTTTGTTTATAACAATTAAGAGAACTTATTAGTGTCATCTGATACTTTATCTTACTTCATCTACTTATTAGTGTCATACTTTAAGATTTTAATGCGAAAAATTCAAAAAAAATCTTTTTCGGAAAAATGGTATTGTTCACAAAGCTTCAAAATTGTGGTCCTCAAATTGAGATTCACTTTCACCACAACTCTTCAACTTAGCTCTATAGCACATAATCAGAAGTGCAAGAATCGAAAACCTAATACAGTATTTCATCGAGAAGGGCCAAACTTACTACTGGCATTTGCAGATGATATCGATCTAATAGGAAACGCACGATTAAGGATGAAGGAGACTTTCGTGAGGTTCGAGAAGGAAAGCAGAGAAGATGGGGCTCCAAATTAACGAAAACAAGATGAAATAATATGTATATGAGGTGCGATAACCAAAGCAGAGACAGAATCGGTCAGAACATCACCATCGATGACTTTAACTTTGAGTGCGTTAGAGAATTTAAGTATTTTGGAACAACAATAACTAAAGACAATAACGGATCACAAGAAATAAATAACAGGATTCAGGCCGGCAACAGATATCTTTTTGCCCTCCAAAACCTGTAAAATCGAAACAACTAACACGACGTACGAAGATACAGGTCTATAAAACAATTATACGACCCGTTGTGATGTATGAAAGCGAAACGTGGACGATAACAAAGGCAAACGAAGAGGGACTATGTGTTTGGGAAAGAAAAATCCTAAGGAAGATCTTTGGTCCTGTGCTGGATGAAGCATCAGGACAATCTAGAATAAAAACTAACAAAGAGCTAGAAGAACTTGACCCAGACGCCAACATCATAAAAGAAATAAAGTCCAGAAGACTCCAATGGACAGGACACCTCAGAAGACATTCTGACGAACGAACAGTAAGACTGGTGTGGGAGGAAGTCATAACTCAAAGGAGACCACGCGGACGCCCTCGTCTCCGGTGGCGAGATAATATAGCAGGAGACCTAAGCACTATGAGCGTGGAGAATTGGATGGAGGTTGCTCAAGACAGAAAACAGTGGAGGCATGTTGTCGAGTCGGCTAAAACCCACGACGGGTTGTAACGCCATGAAGTAAGTAAATAAGTAAGCTGATAGATCCTGGTTCTGAAGGAAATGTCGAGCTATGTTTCCATCAATATTATTGCTAAAACCTAGTTTTAACAGAATAGAAAATATTGTTAAAAATGACTTACCTAAATAATCAAATGCTTGGTTGTCTGGATGTTTATCGGTTACATAAGCCCATACTGTATTTGAAAATAAATTATGTGTGAAAATAGTACCTGTAAATATAATAGAGATTATAGTTATAGTGCTGTTTGTTTAGGTTAAGGTCTTAACTATTTTATAATAATTATTTAGCATATTGCCATTATTGACGAGAAGAAAAGCTACAGGTATCATTAGACCAGATGAGAGAGAACGACATGATATAGCAGTGAAATAAGCAAAAAAAAGTATACTGTTTGTGACATTGAACCGGCCAGGCAAACAACAGTTATTTTAAACAGTGTATAGACCTCTGTATGACAAAAATCTATGTTTCCTGCAGTCAATTATTTTTGACTAAATTAATTATCAACAAATTAAGGTCAAAAACAGTAAATTGTCGGTTTTCTCGTCTATCAGAAAAAAGTAAAGCGTTTGAAACAAATCTGAGAAGAAAAGAAGCTTATAGGTCATATAAAAACCCTCAAAATAGCGTTTTCTAAACGTCGCTATCTTTATTTGTTACTTTGAAAGTTGCAAAATAGGTACAAAATTTCGGCTTTTTATAAATATTAATAACTTTTTTTAAAATAAATTTATAACAAATCATGAATGTGTTTTCTGTAAGTCCATTACAAATAGGTAAAAAGAAATAAAATAAGACTTACTCACAATCAGTTTTAGTTTACTACCAAGACAACAGGTTTGGCTTTCTACAATTTGCAAAGCATCTTCAGGTCAGTCGGTACAAAGTAAATTAAATGCTGATATTATAAAAAGCCCATATTAGGGTGCTGTCTTATAAAGATAAAGATTATATTACAGTAATTATGCCAATATTACATGTCTGTGTTTTTTAATAGGAATAAATGTTTAAACAGACAAAATAAAACATACAAATTGGTATAAAATAATCTATTGAATTGTAATAAATTAGTAAATAAACAAAACATTACTTACATGCCGGTACAAGAATTAATAATTAATGATTCGGAAAATATGGTTCAAACTATATTGTAATTACTGATGATGGGGGATCTTCGGTTCTACTTAATATTGTTCTGAAGCTATTTTCTTGTGGCATTTTAAATTAATTACTATTTAACTGCGAATAAGCCACAATTAAGGATAAAAATACGTTTATTGACGTTTCAATTTCCACTTCGGAAATCGTTCTCAAAATACAAACAGTAAATTAAACAAATTTTGTGTTTTTGTTACATAGTGAAAAAATCTTCTAATAATTTAATTTTATCTGACTCATTTATATTGACAATTTAGACATACATTATGCATTTTAAAGTAGACGATTTTAAGATGATATTGCCAATATTGTTGAGTTGCGCTTCTGGGACGACTTTACTTATAAGATAGTTCATTCGATTACATGAAATCAACTTTAACTTGAGAATATCCGTCAGAAAAAATCATAGCATTTAATTCGTCTTTAAAAAGACAAACACATGACATAATGACAGTAAAATTCTCCTGTTAGTGATTCCATAGTAAATTATGAGGGAAAACCCAGGAAAAAAACCTCATAATACTATTCCGACATGGTAAGTATTTGTTCGTGCATTTAGTTTACCTTCAATAAACACCAAAATTCTGATTTTATATGTTTCATTATTTAAAAAACATAAATATGTATCATCTATATGTTACTCACTTACTAATACTGGTATTTTCTTATTAATAACTTCCTCTTTCAATATTGGTAACCAGATCTTACTACATTCTGACGAGGAATTCTGCGACACAATTGGCTTCATTTAGCTTAATTAAACCCGCTTCTTTGATTTTTCTTTTTTTACCATTCGTCTCTTTTAGGACTACATTTAAATTATTTCATTGAACCTTATGTTCATTATCCCATGCGTGTTTACATATTTGAGATCTATCAAATTCTCTATTATTGTCTCTTCTTTATCGTTTATATCATTTAGGAATGAGTTCAACAACTCTGATCCATGAGGCCATATTGTGTTTATATTTATTATTTTTATTTATCTCCGATAGAGTGTTCGTTAATTCGTCTCGATTCCCGAGCGATTTCATCCTCCATCTTTTATCTCTTTGTTGTTTTTTTGTTGTTTTGAATGTTGTTGAAATGTTGAATTTATTTTCTATCCTTTTCGGTTTTTCTGATAATCCTTTTATGTACGGTATTGTTATTTTCCTCGTAATATTTATTGTGTATGCTGTAGGATCTCGTTCTAAAATGTTATGTTCTGTTCGGTCGATTGTTGAAAATTCCTTATTTATAAACGATAAAGGATAATCATTTTTTAATAAAACAGATGTTAACAAATGTTTCTCCTCCAAGAACGAATTTTCGTTAGAACAAGTAATTTTGGCTCTATCGTATAAGGATTTAATTATTCCCTTTTTTACATTACTATTGTGATTTGATTTGAAATTTAAATATCTATTGGTGTGTGTTGATTTTCTATATACCTGAATCTCATATCCAGTATCGTTCTTAGAGATTAAAACATTCAGCAAAGGTAGCGTGTTATTATATTCCTTTTCCATGGTAAATGTTATTGTCTCTTCTTTATCGTTTATATCATTTAGGAATGTGTTCAACAACTCTGATCCATGAGGCCATATTGTGTTTATATTTATTATTTTTATTTATCTCCGATAGAGTGTTCGTTAATTCGTCTAGATTTCCGAGCGATTTCATCCTCCATCTTTTATCTCTTTGAACATCAAACAGTCAACAAATTATTTTGTTTAAGTGGTCTCTTAATGAGGTAAGCCAAAAAATTCTTTTATCTGATATATTTTTAAAATAAATATTTATATTGTTCTGAAGCTATTTTCTTGTGGCATTGTAAATTAATTACTATTTATAACTGGGAATAAGCCACATTAAAGATAAAAATACATTTATTGACGTTTCAATTTCCAATTCGGAAATCGTTCTCAAAATACAAATAGTAAATTAAACAAATTTTGTTTTTTGTTACATAGTGAAAAAATTCTTCTGATAATTTAATTTTATCTGACTCATTTATATTGACAATTCAGACATACATTATGCATTTTAAAGTAGACGACTTTAAAATGATATTGCCAATATTGTTGAGTTGCGCTCCTGGGACGACTTTACTTATAAGATAGTTCATTCGATTACATGAAATCAACTTTAACTTGAGAATATCCGTCAGAAAAAATCATAGCATGTAATTCGTCTTTAAAAAGACAAACACATGACATGATGACAGTAAAATTCTCCTGTTAGTGATTCCATAGTAAATTATGAGGGAAAAACCAGGAAAAAAACCTCACAATACTATCCCGACATTGTAAGTATTTGTTCGTGAATTTAGTTTACCTTCAACAAACATCAAAATT